AAATATGTATATTGTATATTAATACTTAAAGTATAACATCGAATGTTTCGACTCGTTTTTGAGTCTTCTTCAGCGAGAACATATTCTTACAATTTCTTAAAATCTCGTCACATCTTCTTACATGGACAGCCACTTCTTGATTGAGAGATCCACAGTGAAAAGGCCGTTAAAACGGACGTTCTGTAACGATGTGAGAATTTTCAATATTTTTTTCCCCAAAGAAATATAAAATCAAACACATATAATCAAGATTTGGAATGGCTTACCATAATAAGAAGAAGTGTTTATTGCAAAAATAATCATATACACAACAAATTTATAAGTGGACCATGTGTACATACTAATTATCGAAACATGGTCAGTTATACTATATGAGAAGTTGTTAATCATTTAAAGTCTAAAGCAAGACTGAGGTTACATATACAAAACAGAATGTCAAAACATAAATATGTATATATAAAACACACACATATATAAGTCAAATAATAAAAACAAAAATAGAAAAGCATTCATGTTTGTAAATTATTTAAAATTAAAATGTATGCATGGTGCAAATAGTTAGTATCTCATTGTAAGTTAAGGTTGTTCTGCTGCATCCGTATTTGCAACATCTCAGATATCAATCTTGTATTCAAACAGCGTTCTCTGTCAAATATTTTGACATTCTCTCAATCAAATTCATAATTTAAAGCAATTTGATAATTTTAATTATCGATTTATGTATTACTATTAATAATGTAACAACAATGTTCTTGTATTCTCGTTTTCAGTTATCTACTTGTTTGTTCTACATAAGTTTATAGTCTTTACAATATATTTTGTAGACGTTTTTATTATAATTGTTAGGAAAAACATATTTATGGACTTTGATAAAATTACCAAATTTATTTATGCTAAAAAAGGATGATTTCACGTTTAAATTTTTTGGTGATACTTTCAATCACCACTTTATCATAAATAGTTGGAATGTAAGATAATATATACCACGAAGAAAGTTTGTTGTCAGAAGAAAAATCCTCAATTATAAGACTTTATCCATTCATTAAAAAGAGATTTTAGTCTTAAATTAATAGTTTCCAAAATAAAATCAGAAGAATAATCATTTTCAAATAATGTGTCAAAAAAATTCTGAAATTCTTGTTGTGATATCTGGGATGAGATAATAAAAAGCATCTGTCAATCATTTCCATAATAGTGTTTCTTTTTTGATAAAGCAAATGTACAGAGAAAAAAATGGACTTATAAAACCAGTTAGTTTATGAAATACCATTGTTATTTATGATGGACATTTAAAAATATTTAAAAATAAATAGAACGTTTTTTTTAAACTTTCAGTGTTCAATATCTTAAAAATGTTTTTTAAAGAACTTTTGAAGATATCTCTTGAAAGTTTCATGTGTCGATTTTATACATTCTATTTATTGGATAATTAAAAAAAATTACAAAAACTGCAAAATAATAAAAGAATTTTTGCCTAATGAAATAGAATACTTATAGCGAATTCAGTTGGATGCATTAATGCATATTAAAGTCATTGTAAACTGATTTAATCGGTGTAAAAGTGCAAATACTTGGAATTATAAAATACAGATTTTTACTTAACAGCACAATAAAATGTATTGAAGATTTCATGATCTATCCATTTTTATATTTATATTTGAAGATAATTTGAATGTCGAGATTAAATCAATGATTATATAAAATATAGTTTAGTTTGATAGGTAATAATATGTTAAACTATCCGATAGATGGTATCAGATTAAATGTTTCGATACTCTCTAATTTCTTTTTAGTCAGTCAGTTGTTATTGTTATAATTCGTTCTCCTTAGAGACAAAATCTTTTGTGTGCTCAATTGAAGATTCTCATATAAAATGTTTGGTATATTTAATTATTACGTTTGTACACTAAAATAAAACTATTTAAAAGCAAACAACATTAAACACATATTTTTATGTCAATTGGTGTACGACGGCTTTTATGTGCATTAGTGCACACTGAGTGCCATCCAAACGAATTCGTTATCACTTATATAAAAGGATAAAGCATGGTATATATTTGACGTACTCAAAACTAATTAGTTACAGAGGGTCCAAGTGTCGCAAGAGCGATATATAAATAGAGAATGCTCGTGAAGGAGCTTCCTGGTTCTATCCGTCCATATGACGCAATTATACATCAGATTACAGGGAAACGCGTCCATGGCGATTTCTGTAAAAGGGACAACTCACTCCTTTGTGTTCTCCGGTGTTTCTGTAACGTTAGTCGCCGAGTCCGGAACAATGTTGATCGGTTGATCAGACGACGCCATGGCAGTATTCCTTTACAGACGAGAGACAGGCAGACCGACCACGTTGGAACGCACCGTGAAAAAACACGAGGTTTTCTCTACTCTGAATTGCACTGTCGAGGAGTAGAAAGGATGCACGGATGATCACACAAGCGATACGCACTAAATTGGCGTAACGCAAAGACGCGGATCAACGTGATCCTCCTTCACGGAGTGTCCTCCTCGCTCCTCCTTTCTTTAAATCTGTTCTTTTTCTATTCTAAACTGGTATCGCGCCTAGTGTGAACTAGGCATAATTCACACTAGGCGCGACGAGCGATGCGCGACGAGCAATAACCAATAAGAACTCTTTACATCGTCGTGTGAGCTAAAGCAAAGCTTTTATTGGATATCGCTCATCGTTCATCGCCCATCGCATCCAGTGTGATAGCGCATTTCACTGGCAGAGCTAGTGCGCACTAGAGTCCTAGATATCAGAGAAGCGCAACCGGTTTAAGTCAGTATCGCAAAATTACTAAGAAAAGTATTAAAAATGGCGTCGTTTGCAGACGAAATATGAAATCCACCAATCGTCTATTAGTCAGCCATTTTTAATACCACTGAATGAATGTCATGATTGGCTGACAGTCAGCTAATCAGAACGCGGAACATCGGTTGCGCTTCTCTGATATCTAGGACTCTAGTGCGCACTCAGTGCACATTAAAGTCGTTATACACTACTCTAATCTGATATTAAAGTAAGATATCTCAAATGATAAAATACTTATTGTGTATTTTGTCAAATAACACAATAAAATATATTGAAGATTTTATGGTTTTAATCATTTTTTTATTTTTATTAAACATATATTTCTATGTCGATTTGTGTACAAAGGCATTAAAGTACACTGAGTGCGCACTAGCTCTGCCAGTGAAACGCGCTATGAATCTGGCATAAGGCCGGTATTCATAGTCAGTTCTTATTTGAAGACTGTCTTAAGTAATGTCTTAAGACGCGAATGCAGCCATTTGATTGGTTCGTGACATCTTAAGACGGAACTTAAGACGGTCTTGAATATAAGAACTGACTATGGCTACGTTCAGCAGACTCTACAGTTGAGTGAGCGCTCGCTGTTATTGGTGTATTCTTTTAGATCATCCAATCAAATTTTAAATCTAGAAGAATACACCAATAACAGAGAGCGCTCACTCAACTGTAGAGTCTGCTGAACGTAGCCTATGAATACCGGCCTAAGTTCAGTCTTGAAGAGATAAGGTCGCAGCACACACTTTTGCATAACGCATAAATGCGCATAAGGAATTTCATTGGCCCATTTTCTTATGCATGAGTCAATGGACCAATCAAATTCTTTATGTATATGGTTTATGCGTCATGCAAAAGTGTGTGCTGCGGCCTTTACGAACCAATCAGAAAGCCGCTTTAACATCTTAAGACAGTCTTCAAATAAGAACTGACTATGAATACCGGTCATAGAGCCTTAATAAATTTTTCTATTGTTTTTAAATAATTTTTCTTGTGTATATATTTTATATAAGCTATATACATATCTTGTAATTGTGTGAATATTCTTTAGCTAGCTGCACGCATAATGCGCATATTCTTCTTATGTCAGATTTGTTCAAATTAATTAATAATACGAGTTCAATGAAATTAAATTATTCAGAGAAGTCAATACCGCCACATCGGAGCACAGAGTTGGAGCACGCGCGCGCGCGTGTGTAATATATATGTATACATATGTACATAGCGTTCACATTTACGTTAAAATATTGAAATTCATTGTATATTTTTCAATTACGGCAATAAATATACATATAAAGGTCTATATATCAAATAATCTTCGAAAGAAAGAAAGCGAATAGTTGCTAAATGCAAAGAGTGCAAACAATACATAGATCTACTATTTGTTTTCTAAAGCTGAGGTAACATATATATAGTTTAAAAGTGACATAGATATACATATATGTGATATTTGATGAAAACGAGAAGAGAAATTCTACTGCAGGAATAAAAAACACACTTATGCACTCGATTAGTATGGAAGTGATTTAAATCAACATGAAGACAAAATTAATTGATTAAAATTTCGATAATTTTAAGTTCGATTAATTATTATAGAAATGGTAGATTATAATTGTGTTTTAGCATCATAATGGTTACAATTAATACACGAAACATTTTGTCACGTGTTTTACGTTACGGTATTTATATTGTTATTATTTATCAAAATTGTTTTAAGTAATTATGTCAATATAATATCTTAAAACACTAATACGATTTTAAAATTAGCTCACAATATCTGGATATCAATCATATAACTTTTTATGTAGAGCGGAAACGTGAAAAGTGAAAATTTTTATTAATGTGTGTATGAACATATACACACACATACAAAAAAATTTTCACTTTTCACGTTTCCGCCCTAGAGAAAAAGTTACATAATCGATACCCTGAAGACTGTATATGTAAAATTATCTCAAATATAACAATTATTGACATACTGAATACCGACCTAGGAATTCTCGCGCAATGACATTTCATCACACAGAGTGCTTAATATGTGTGCTCTAATAAGACCGATATGATAATCGATATAACAGGCTCCATGGAATCGACGCCACTCCTACATTACCGATTGGGCAGACGACAGGTGTGACGTCACGCGTCGACCGCCCCGCGATGCGTATCGGGAAACACGGGACCTGCCATCTTGAATTGAATGGCATGGCTAGTCTACAGAGTGCGTGATGAAGGAGAAATGCGAGCTTTAGTGCGAACGTTTCGCTGGTATTACGTTACGTCGGGATCCGCGTGAGACTTAACGACGATCGTGACGCGAGGAGACTCTTTCCCTGTCGCACGCGATGGAGGCGGTGAAAGCGTTCAACGCAGAGGTAAGTAACACCCCGAGGTCCCTCCGCTCGTACGCGCACGTCTTAGAGGTCACCGTCGTAGGGGCAGCTCTCCCTCTCTACGCTTCTCACTCTCAACTTTGCTCTTCCTGCCTCGTATCTCAATCTGTGTCTCGTGAGAAAATCGCAGATACATTTGCGATAGAAGAAAAAAAAATGATGCGTCGTCCCCCCCCGAATTTTCTTCTTGGCTATAGTCAATGTAGCTCCCGTTTGATCTTGACGAAAAGGTATCCTCGCTGAAGAGACGCAACTCGTTAAGACTCCCCGAGAAATAGCTATCACGATGAAAGCTACCGTGGTATCGCATCGTCATGACTTGGTGCGACTTGTTTTTAAAGGCCATGCCGATTTCGAGTGACCACGATTTTGTTGAGCGAATAGCTAGTTGTATTTCTGAATTGTGGAATGATGAAATAAGCATGCACACATGCGATGTTTTGGTCTGTACGTCATTAACCTTCCCAGACAACATGCATCATCTAGCCGTATCATTTAGAAGACCTCTTTATGTCTTTTAAATATCTTGTAGATATGTTCTGTTTTTATGATACCTACATCTTTTAGACATGCATGTCGCTTGGGTCTACGATGCTAAAAATTACTCCAAGATTTTGGTTAGGGAAACAATTAACAAATCACTGATTGAATTTATTTACCAGTTCTTGACCAATGTGATTGATCATGTATGACTAGGTCAACTCCTTCTCTGAGATCTTGGAGCAATTTCTAGCATTATGGATAGAAAACTTCGTACTGTTGGTGTTTACCACAGTAAAATATACAGTCAATAATTTCTTTATTTAATTTTATTTGCCTTTATTGGCACACAAGAAAGATATACTGATTTACTAGGTGCAGTCGAGAAGACTACTAGCGTTGCTTGCGTCATTCTATCCTTGTTTTACAGCTAATAGACAATGAAACCAGAATAACGTAGGTAGCACTAATAACGCTTCTTCAAATGCATCTACTGTGTTTAACTGTGTCATCTATGTCTCTTGCTGAAAGCATTCTATAACTGATATTTATAGTTGATTTTTGTATCAAAGATTCTTAAATACAATCTTAAGATGCCATGAACTAATGGAGTCATATAGCATCTTAAGACATTACTCTTGAAATAAGAACAGACTGAAAGTACCAGCCTTATGATGTGCTTACTATACCATTGAAGGTCAATCATGGGATTTTTTGCTTATAGCAAAAACGTGAAAAAAATCAAAATTTTTATGTATGTATGTATATACTTGTACATACATAAATATAAAACATTTCCATGTTTTACATTTCTGCTCTAGGAAAAAAATACATGATTGACTTGAAACATTACAACTTTTGGCAACACAACAGTATAGTTACATTGATATTTACTTTCTGTTGAAATATACATTGATCCATATTCACACTTCACTTTTATCAATAGATGCATGTATTTGGCATATTTTATGTTACATATACTATAGAATCTTAAAAATAAATACATGTAAAAGACAATTTACATAGATAATACATTCTAATTTTTACTAAATACAGTCAGAACTCCGTTCATCTGAATTATTGAGGGACAATGCAGTTTCGAATGGTTTACATAGTAGAATTCTACCGACTCTTTTCTCTATCAAAAACTCCAGTTTTTTTTTTTTAAAGTTGTCTGAGTAACGTTGTATGTTCAAATAACAAAAGATCGGATATAGATCTGTTTTCTAAAAACTGAACTAGTCCACACTTGTAGAACTTAAAGTGAAATAAGTATATACTTGATATTTGGTGAAAGCAAAAAAGATTTAATGCAGGCTAGTACAAGAATAAAAAACAGGTCTTATAAATTTGTATATTTGAAACTAAGCACAAACTTATTGTATCGCATGTAAATGTGTGTATTGCAAATACAGGAGTTATCTATTGTATATTGCTTCTTTAGAAGACATAATTAATCAAGATTTAATTTTGCAGCTCTCTGCTCTTTATGATGTCAAACCCCCAATTTCAAAAGCCAAAATGAATTCTCTTACACGGGGAGCTATCAAAGCAATAAAATTCTACAAACATGTTGTACAAAGCGTGGAAAAATTCATTCAAAAAGTAAGTATCTGTTCAAATTGTTTCTTGATCATGCACATTGTGTTACATATATTTTGTAATTTATTTTATTTTGTTTTAGTGCAAGCCGGAGTACAAAGTACCAGGGTTGTATGTAATAGATTCAATTGTTCGACAATCCCGACATCAGTTTGGGATGGAGAAGGATGTGTTCGCTCCACGATTTGCAAAAAATATGCAGACTACCTTTCTTAATCTTTTAAAGTGTCCACAAGAGGATAAAAGCAAAGTTATACGTGTATTAAATCTTTGGCAAAAGAATGCAGTTTTTCCACCAGAAGTTATTCAACCACTTTTCGATCTAGCAGACCCGAATCATCCGATACATAAAGAACAGCCAGTAAATAGCAATGGTAAATATAAAAAATATAATTAAACAAATGTACTCGAAATTAGTAAATAATATAAATATATGTAACTTGAAGTATACAATATATGTACATACAAATGAAAAATATTTGCAGCATTAAAATACATTTTAATACTGTTAGGTACATTAAATGCATCATCTGGAAGTAATCTAAGTAATGTAAGTGCAGTCACTAAAACCCCGCCATCTACAATTAAAAACGCTGTGAAAGATCCCAAACTGTTTTCATCTGGAAAAACGATTGACCCAGTATGGCTTGCACAAACAAAAATGGAAGCAGCAGTCAATGCAAACAAACTTTTGGTAATATTCTCACATAATGTTTATATATTGTGCTTATATTTCTTGAAATTTTATTCAATTTTATTATTTTCCATACAGAATCAATCCAACTCTGGTCAAGTAGATTCCTCTTTTTTTGATCAGTTACAACATTTACAGCAGTTACTTATGAAAAAAGATGTTACAAACGATTCAAAGAGTTCTGTCAAGTTTGATAAAAAGTTATTAGATTTTGATTATGGAGAAGAAGAAGATGATGACGTTGTTGTTACTAATTCTCCGAACACAGCTGCCTCAGCCAATATACAGCACAATATAGTTTCAGCAAACAACAGTTTAGAAAGCCTTGGATTATTGCTTGCAAATCCAGAGGTACTTTCCGAATACCAAAAGTTAATACTAAAGTACAATATTATTCTACATACATCATGTTCTGTTTCACTTGAAGGTTATGAGACAATTGCAAACTTTACAACAAACCATGCAAAGCAATGCATCCTCTTCACTCGAAATGGAAGAAAAGATGCGCAAACTGCAACAAATGAGACAACAGGAAGAAGAATTTGATAAGCATTTAGCACAAACTGTTCCTGTAAGTTAATCGATAATTTATTTATTTTTTTTTTTATGTCATGATTTTTGTACGCAAATTTTATTCTTTTAGAATCTTCCATTTGCATCTGAATGCGAATTAAAGCCTTCTGATATTTTGAAACCAAACACACAAAATTATGCATCAAATATGAACAGCAATGTGATGCAGGATATGAGTCAGCCACCACCTGGTTATCCACCAGCTATGTCATACACTTCCCAATCTTTATCGAACATTCGACAAATAAATCAGTCTACGCATCAAAATCAAAAAAGTCCGTTGCTTGATGAACGTCAAGAAACGCAAGATTATACTGGGTAAATATATTATTTAATAATCATAATTAAATAATTTAACTCTCTTCTATAATCATTTTTTTTTTTTTTTATAGGAACAGTGTCAGACGTGATAGTAGTAGTGTAGAAATTGTAAACTGCGAAAATACGAGTTCCCAAAGTAGATCGCCAGAACGATATCGACATCACAGTCGATCTCGATCTCCGCGACTCAGAGATAGAGATAGAGATCGAGATAGAGATAGAAAATCTCGATCTAGAAGCAGATCAAGACGAAGAAGGTAATTAAAGCTTACAGTTAACATTAAATCAAATTGATTATCTTTATTATTGAAAAATTTGGAATATGTTAAATATAGAAAAATAAATATCAAAAATGATTAACTTATATATTTGTGCTATTAATTTTATATTATATAAAATACACACACACACACACACACACACACACACACACACACACACACACACACACACGTCTCCTTTTTCTTAGATCTCGTTCAAGAGTTCGAAAACGTGATGATAGCCGAGAAAAGATGACAGAAGAAGAGCGAGAAAAGGATAGGGAGAGACGTAAACGCGGTTTACCGCCAATAGTTAGAGACAAATTAAGTGGTAATGTATTTTAAAGGCAAAAGAAATAATCTCCGTATTTTCTTTTACGAATCAGAATAGTACGAAAAATTGAACGCATGTTTTTGCAGTTTGCAGTACAACTCTTTGGGTAGGTCATTTGTCGAAACTCGTACATCAAGAAGAGTTGTCCGATACATTTGGAGAGCTTGGTGATATCGTTAGTATTGATTTAATCTCGCCAAGAGGTTGTGCATTTATATGTATGAATAGAAGACAGGACGCATATCGAGCGTTAACAAAATTAAAAAATCAAAAGATGCAAGGCAAAGCTATTACGGTAATTAATAACTATTTACAATATATCTCTTATATGATGGCTGAGTAAATTTAAGATGCTTTAGTATACGCAGTATATTTCTATACTTTAATTATACATGATAATAAATGTAGTATTAGTTAACGGGCAATTGAGAGCTCAATTTATTTCTATTTATATTATTTAATTATACAGTTGGCATGGGCACCTGGTAAAGGAGTAAAAGGCAAGGAATGGAAAGATTATTGGGAAGTAGAGCTAGGTGTCAGTTACATCCCTTGGAATAAATTAACCAACATTACCGATCAAGAATTGGAGTTATTAGAAGAAGGAGGGATGATAGACGAAGACACATTACCTCCTCATTTGAAAGGTAAATTTCTTCAATTTGTACATACACATGGAGAGTACATTGATGTATGTGAAAAGTAGGTAATTGGAAAGATAGTTTAATAAATTATATGTATATATATATATATCATTTTATTGTTCTCGAAACACGGGTTACAATTACACCTCATAAGTATTTCATTCGCAATCTTCGACTCTTTCACAAATTAATGTTTTATAAACCGATGTAAATGCAGCATGAAAGTCAGACAGAAAAGAGATTGCTATCTACGAGTCGACTGCCCTTGCATAAGAAGATACATAATAAGCTCTAGTTTCATAAATTAAAGATCTTATATTCATGAAATATATTTACCTTTTGCTTACAAAATTTATTACAATTATTATACAATTTACTCCTTTTAATTAGATAGCATTAGAACTGAAAAGGTAAATTGAATAATTTTATTCTTCCTCGTGAAATAGACTTTGAGCTTGTTTTTCCAAGATTAAGAAACCATTTCCAAAGCTTTATATTGGTATTTGGAACATTTGACTTGAACTTTTTTGGTAGGCTGCTAACCTTGCCGGAAGTTATTTAACATCAGATTTAAATGACATTGGTGATTATAGATCTCTTAATCACGATACGAAGTCATTTTCTTAAATACGAAAAATCGCGTATGTTGGCGTAAATGAGATTGAACTCAGATCTACAGATCGTGAATCAATTGCACTGAGCGGCAAGCCACTCGATACCTAGTTTTATTTTGATCAGCAATATTATTAATTCTATTATTGAAGTAATTGATAGTATTTTACTAAAAACTATATTCGTATATCGTACATATTTATTTACATGTTATAATTTATAAATTTTAAAATATGTAGGTTTGTTCTTTGTAGCCGAACTAGTGTACTTAAAATCAAATAAGTATATATTGGAAATTTGGTAAATAGGAGATAAAAAGTGCAATTTAATGTAGCGACAAAGAACAAAAGCCTTATGTTTTCTCTTTTACATCACAGGGAAACTGAAACACACTGGCACAAGTGCAGATGTTTTACAACAACAGTTGCATCTGCAGCAGCAAGCAATAGTTGCCACTGGTGCTCCTATACCCACTTTGACGGATGGCATCGTTAATGTCATACAGCCGCCGGTTAGTTCACAGCAACAACAGCAGCAGCCGCCACAGCAACAGCAATTAGTCGACACTAGTCAACCGCCACCAATTAGACCGCCAACATCGGCTGCACTACTGCCTCCACCGAACACTCAATTACAAATGATGCCACCAGCATTTACAATGCCTGGAGTGCCACGTAAGATTATATTATTAGTTTTTAAATTCAATTCGTCTTTCTGATAAATGTTTAGAAGTATGATTTTTCACATGCAACATATTAATGCAACATATAATATTCAATATAATTATATTCACAATATTATACAATTTTAACACAATATTATACTTTTAACATGGTTTGAATTATATATTATATTCTTTTCTAGATTTTTTATGTATAGGCCATAATCATTATTTTATTGTTTTTTCTTTTTACGCATGCATTTAAAAAAAAAGTTTTTTTACATCACTGCAGATGTTCATGATGATACTACGGATTTGATGGAGTTTTAATAAAGTATTTTACAATTCTTAGATATAACGAATTTGATACAGGAATGATTAGCCACATGGGCCTACAAATGCCGCATGGACTAATGCCGAATGTTCCAATCGGAGTACCACCACCTAACATGCAGAGTTTGCTGGGACCACCCGGCATGATGCAAACCATGTTGACACCTCCAGTAAACCCGCCATTCGGAGCAGGTGTTGGCGTAAGTTTATTGACGCAAATTCCACTGCCCGCACCTGCAGCGCCTTCGGATAAACCAAATTCGACTGGTATGTATATAATTCTTTAATAAATATATTATAATTAATAACAAAAAGTGAAATAGTCTCTTGACATATTTGCAGTAGCTATATAATTTTCTATAGCTATATACTAGTATATAAAGTATTTGTTACATGTGTATCAGTGACAAAACTAAATTTTTATTTATTTTTTTTTTTTATGAAAAGATCCAATACTAACTATAATTGGAAAATTGATAAAATAAGTTAGTTTTTACATATAATGTAGCTTATAATGTGAAACAGATATTGAGGTCAAAGTTCAATAATGAATAGTTTTTCAACGATGGTGTATCAAAGATAATCTATGGACAAAAGTTTTACGTCTTTAATACAACATAATTCAAAAACTATTACTAAGCCTTATGTTTGATATTTTTTGTTCGTTGTATCATAAGCTACATTATATGTTAGAATTAATATGATACAAATATATATATATTTTTTTGTTATATATATTACAAATTTAGTCATAACTCGTATTCTTGTATTCTTTATGATACTAGTACTTAAAGAATGAAATAATCGAATATTTTCCTCTCTTGCTGAGATTTAAACGAAAATAACTTGTATATTAAAAGAGAATAGAAATAAGTAAAAGTTATCAGTGCTAATATAGTACATGTATATTCTCAGATCTAATTTTAATTGAATTTACTATGATATTTAATACTTTTACCGCCCAATGAAGTTGGCTAATCAGAGCCAAACAGGATACGAGATCCTGAACATTTCAGGTATGCCGCACAACGTTCCACCGATTGGAGTACCACCGCCTACAACAGAGACAAGTATGCCGAACTTGCCGATGTTACGGCAACCGTACGGAGTTGGACCGGCGCCACCCATGCAGATACAACTACCTCAACAGCATCACTCGGACGATATGGACGTAGAAATGGAGGACGCGATGCCACAAAGTTTAAACAGCAACTTGTCCAAGGACAAGCCGAACCTTAGTGATCAGTTGATTGCGGCAATGAATATAAGCAGCAATGTAAACGACTGTCGTCTGGAGAACGACCAATCTCGCGAGTACAAGGAAAGGGAACGTGATCGAGAAATCAGGGAAAGGCGAGACCGGAGTGATCGAGATCGTGGAGATCGCATGGATATCAACGAATGCAGAATGGATCGTGGTAGAGATAGAGGAAGAGGACGAGATCGCGGCCGAGATAATAGACGGAGAGATAATCGTGACGGTCGTGATAGAGAGAGGGATGATAGACGTGACAGAGACAGCCGTGAGACCCGAGAGAGTCGAGATAGCAGTACCAGACACTCGGAAGGGCCGAGTGGACAAAATCAAATCCAGGAAGGCGAAGGCATGACGAAAAAGGAAGGCAAGCCTAGTCTAGCCGAACGACTGCGACAGTTAGCGGACGGTACGTTACCGCTGGATGACCGGATGGACAGGAACATTCGTGGCAACCGAGCTGAGCGTAACAACGAGCGAAATGACAGGAACTTTGAAGAAAGTCCTGGAGGTGGAGGAGGACGAAGGCCACCCGGTGACATGCCGATCTCATTGATGGACCTACCTAAGTTCCCCGCAGTGATGCCTCCGGATCGAGCCGACTTTCCACGAGGACCGGATTTTCGAAGTGGACCACCAGACACGCGTGAGTTTCCGCAACGCGGCCTGCCCGATCGGCCTGATCGACAGAATTTCCCGCCGCGCGGTGGACCAAGAGCTTCACAAATGGACGACTTCCACGACCCTAGAATGCAGTCTGGCATGTTCTCGGAAGAACATTATGAGAATAGGTTGGGCCACAATGGGCCTCGGCCTGACGACTTTCCACCGGGTAGACTAGGCCCGGCTAGAGACGAGTTCGAGCGACCAGAAGTGCGTCCTCGTAGACCACCTGTGGACGATTACGAACGTGAGCGTTTCGAGTATGAGATGAGACGCGATGGATTTGATCCGCGAATGCAGGACGGCTTCGATCATAGGAGTCACAATGAGCGCGCCGATTTTGATCTCCGCAGAAGAGAATTCTTTGGTGGACCAATGGAACCAGTGTTTGGAATGCCACCTTTAATGGGGCCAAAGGGACCGAGAGGACCAGTTGGTCCTGATGGATTTGGACCGCGCGGAGCCAGGGGACCCGGTAAGACATAAATTTCCTATTATCTTCTTTATAATTGTGTTTGGTAGTTTATGTTAGAGAATATTAGTTATTACATTAAGAGTATAATATAAGGCCATGTTTCTTGTTGCAAATTCAAATAATTCTTGTATTAATTACTATCAGTCGATTAATTGATTTGCTCCATGATTCTGGGTGAATCTTGATCCGTTCTAAAGATTCTTTATGAACATTCTTATGAACAATTGTTGTTTTACGTGATGTAGTTGCTAACCATATGCATAAACGTGGTCTAGGGAGATGCTTTATGCAATATGAGGAATATTAGGAATTTAAGATCCGTACATATGATGACGGATAAAATTCGAGCGCCAATTATGAAACCGCCATTTCCATATGAAGTCATGCGTGCACGCGCGCCTAAAAAATTTTTATAAAAAATATTAAAATTTTGATATCTCTATTTCGATAGCAGACAGTCAACGTTAATATTAGGTTTTAATATCATATTTTATATATTAAATATATTATATTTAATATATATATATATATTAAATACACATATTACAATATATAAATATAATTTAAAATATTATATTTAATATATTTAACATTAGAGATTAGCAATCAGTCACTTTAATTTTTACAAACAGTTCTAATTTGTTATCTAATTTTAATTATCATATGTATCACGTTTATTTGAAATATACAGACACTAAAATTTCTGATTTAGAAAAAATCCTCTTAAATTTTATTTATTTAGAACATTCAAATTCTCATTAAAAAGAAATGATATAACTCATAATAATTAAATGTTTTAATTTTGATTACGAAAAAAAGGTTTAATTTTAATTAAGAAAAAAAAAGAAGAGAGAAGGAAAGATTAATAAGTAAATATACATTAATCCCAGAAGGTTTATATTTCTTATTATACAAAATATTCAATATTGGTTCCTGTGTTCACATACGCATGTATTGCATGACAAAGCAGCAGTTATAAACTTTTGATAAACTTATGTCACATTCTTGTACATAATAATTATATCTGTGACTATCCATATTAATTAATGTTAATTTGTTTATTTAATTTCTTTACTCCGCGATTTACATATTACAAAATATGTAATGGATAGAAAGCAAACGTTTTATTATGTACAGCGTTTTATTATTTACAGCAAATGTAATTATGTTGCTTCGTGCGTGTGACACTTTGCTGTGTCTTTTGTAGGTCCTCTCATGTTCCATCTTCGTGGCATGGGTCCGAGAGGTATGAGGCCTGGGATGAGGCCGCCGTTTGCACCTCGAGGTCCACCATTCGATCCTAGAGAATCAGACTCTTTCTTCCGACCACCGTTCGATGAAATGCGCGGTCGTCCTGGACCACATATCCGGCCACCGTTTGGTCCGATGGGTCCGCCAGCGATGCATGGACCAGATGGACCATGGAGAAATCAAGAGGGCGGTGGACCCGCATCATGGTCTGGGCAGGAACCCGATGGACACGGACAACGTGAAAATCATCTTCCACGAGACAAGCAAAAATTAACGAAGCATCAAGATTATAAAAATATTTCCGAGCGGGAGAATCGTAACCGAAATCGAAAATCTAGGTGGGGCAATGTTAGCCCACAATTGACGGATGACGTGGACGAGATACCATCAGAAGAGGCCGAAAATAAAGTAGGAATACCAGATAGTAGCAAATTAGAAGCGAAAGATAGCTTTGATGCTTCAGCCTCGGCTATCGATCAACAGAATCAAGAAGAGTCAGTAATCCAGGGGCAGGATGTGATGCATGGTGACAGAGAAAACGAATTTGCGAGTATATCGAACGATAACAATGTTGATGACATGAATTATAAAAATGATGAAACCAATGCTTTCGAAATTGGTGTGGATCATTTCTCCAGCAATGACTTAGCGCTAACGCAGCGGGATGAAGAGGAACAGTGTGAATACGAAGCGCCCATTCCAGCTGAAGATTCAGCGCAGCAAAATGTGGTACAATCGATCGAACAAATAGGGCACGTCAGTGAGAATTTTAGTGAGCAATCAGTGGAACAACAAGCGGATTTGTTATAAACAGAAAGGAAAGAAAGGAAGAAAAAGATCGATATTTGGAAAATTACCAAAGTGAAGTATAGAGAATCTTCAGGCAGATTTGTGTAAAATATCGTTTAAATTGATACAATGTACATAGAGTCTAGTGAGAAAGAGCGAAAGAGAGCGAGCGAGAGAGAGGGAGAGAGAGGGCGAGAGCGAGCGAGCGAGTGAAAAAAAGAGGGAAAGAAAAAAGTGAAAAAAAATTCGATTTTACAGACTCAGAATTATCGCACTCTGGAGTGGTGGGGAAGCCATTGGGTCCAGCGAGTTGTTTTGAGTATCTTTCAATCGTCAGAATATTCAATTGTTGACTCTCGTGTAAGTCTTAATCAAGATTTCTTCCCAACTGAAATCTGCTGCTTAGATAATTGCTGTGATAGAGTGAACACAGGACCTGTTTATCCGTGTAGAGGTATATACAGAGATTCAATACTTAATTGAAATTCTTTTATCATAATCTTTACTACTTTTTTCCTCTTCTTTTGCGTTGAATAATAGTTGCAATTATATATATACATACATATATATAAACGTATATATAGACACATTTGAAAGAATTCCATCATTGCCATCTATATACGAAATTAATCTCCAGTCAATTTTTTGTAGTTTTATTAAGAATTTTCCTGTAGTTAATTTTGAATCATCTATCGGGTATTGTACAGCGATAGTATCGTACCTCATACCCCTTTGAGGATTAATTTATTGAATTGTAAATACTTTTATATTTTCGTAGCAGAACAAATGAATGAATATAATGTGCTGATTGCCATTGCTCAATCAAAGAAAGAAAAAGAATAAATATTTTATATATAACGTCTTTGATAACAAAAGAAACATGGCCTTGTTATTCCGATACGCGCATAGCTCCCGATTACGACAAAATGAAAACGACGGACTAAATCTGCACGTGTATAATATACGAATTATATTTCTAGGCATCTACAGAGACATGTACATAACACAGTTAAGAATATTCGTTTCTCTTTCTCCCTTTTTTTATCGGTTCTGTGGTTATCTTTTGAATTTTTTATATAATAGAATAATTTATGAGAAAAATGACCCTACGCTAACTCACGGCACAGATTCATTTTATTCTGCATGAGAATTTAAATTAATCTGTTCGAATATAAAAGCGAGAATAATTACAAAGGTACGACGTATCTCACGCGCGAGAATAATTACAAAGGTACGACGTACATACACGCGCTTCCATTTACTTTTACACACATTACACACACACGTACAGACAACGTGGTTCCTGTGTTCACATACGCATGTATTGCACGGCGCAGCGATGGAAGACACGTGCTTGCGCTCAAACTGAGTGACAAGTGCAAGGTATTGTTCCCAATTACTTTCACATACCGTTAGTAAAAAATGTGACACTAAGATGATATTAAGAGAGCCACTGCTTGGCCGCCACCACTCCAGGATGAAACTCGTCGATATATATATTAGCCATTTAATTAATTATTATGTATCTTTAACGATTAGAACAATTACTTACGACTAAGAGATGGTATTGAGAGAGAATGACTTCCAAAGTTGAATTGTCCGATCGTGTTCAATTGTTGGACTCGTCAACTGAACCGAATTCTTTGATTTTGAAACGTTACTATTAGACGTTCACTTCGCGCCTTTAATAATAAATAAAAACTGGATTGTTAAGAGATAATGGTAGACTTTTTAACGAGTCGTTAAAATAGGATATGATAGCATTATTTCGACGCGTATAATAACAATGTTTGATATTTTCACGTTAGAAAACGCATGTATGGCTATTTCTTTGCTTTGAGCTTACTTTACTATAAGTTACGTTTTACGATCATATATTTATATATGTGAATCCATGAACAAACAACAACTGTATTTAAGAGCGTATACTTAATATGAACATAAAATAAATTGACAAAATATTCTTTCTTTTCACTAGTAGCATACTTGTACTTATCGTAATTTTCAACACGTAATATTTACACTTTGTTGATAAATTTTATAATATCCGGATATATATACATTATGACGTATACAAAAACTAGAAATTCTGTAAAATGTATTGTACAGATAACAATGTACCGAATTTGTTTATATCAATATCACTTATATATATTCATTTTTTTCTTGATTAATTTCTTCATGAACTGTTGCAATTCAAATATCATAAAGAAGTTTCGAAGTAGGTATACAAGTGAAAAACTATTAGGACAAGCTGAATATTATTCATTTAACATATAGTTTGCTTCCAATTTATATAATACATTAAAGATACATTGTAAATTTCGTGAATGTAAATTTTTTAAAAATTTAAGAAACGAGAACAAACCTGGAGTGGTGCATGGCACTGCATTCTAGGCTTTTATACATATATTAGAATGGCATTATATATACATTTTTAATTCAATCTGAAGATGGAATCTTCTCGAAGCATGTTATGTTTCCTCGTGTACAATATTACTTAAAAAAAAAAATTCTAGCAATTGTGAAAGATGATATTTTAATTTTTTAAAGTCTTTATATCTGGAGACACGGTAGTGTCTCGGCGCTAAGGCAAGCGCACGACACTGCCGTGCCTCCTTTACGCGAATCTGACAAATTCGGGGGATTGAGATGATCATATCTCAGTAACGGCTGAACCGATCAAGTTAAGTACACACACACACACACATATATATACGTTTTAAAATTTTATATATGAATTTATATATATATATATATGTGTGTGTGTGTACGTATGTGAATATGTCGCGTGTGTATGCATGCATACTTAACACGCACGCGTACAGAAAAACGTATTAATAGTTGTTATTATATAACAACAGTTTAATTAAAAATAATCTTGTTAATTTAATAAGTATATTAATAAACAAATAACATTTTATAAAAACAAAAAATTGAGCATTTGTTATATTAATATTTTAATTAACAAGATTATTATAAACTACTATTAATTAATGTCATTAATTTATCATTTTGTTCTTCCATGTATACATATATATATATATATATATATATCTATAATTTAAAAAAACAAAAAGAAAATATACATAGAGAAAGAAAAAATATAGGTAGATATATAAAGAAGAATGTGTTTGCAATATTAGATACAATAATTTTTTTAGTTTAAAAAATTTGATCTCTTTAGTCTTATTTATATCTATTTAATATAATAAAGAATTATTACGTGTAATAGTTTATATATTTATATGTATTTGTATGTATAATTTATTAATTTTTCAATTTAAAATTTATTTTTCTCAGAAACACGAGATATATGAAGATATCTACTTGTGCACGAGGAATCATCTCTTTCCAATTGCATTATAGTTTTACACATGGCCTATATATAAAATATTTTCTTTTATAGAATTATTTTACAAAAATTTTAATTACTTTTCGTTTCAGTAAAAACTAAAATTACTCCTAAATATTCAATGCAACTATTGCACATGCGAGCATGTTGAATAATACGTTTTTAGAAAAATGGTGTACTATTTAAATAAGTTTAAAAATTATTCGTTAAATTTAAATACTTGAATCTACGAATTATAGAATTAATAAACAGTCAATTTTGCTATAACTAAACATATTTCGTAAAAAGATAATTTTCTCTCTATTTTTCGTTCAATTTTTAGATTCTTTGATAATTATTTAATTCAATAATATTAAATAATTAATTAAACATCGATTAATCGCTTGATTTACTAGTTTAAACAATTTTTTATTTATTCACAATACTTTTTATTTCAATAAAATATCACAGGTGGATAATAATCAATCATAAAATACACTTCTCAACAAAATTAAAGGATCACTTGTTCCACTCTGCAGAAATAGGCAAACTTTGAGATAGAATAACTTCGTCAGAAATCATCGTATCGAGATGTTTAAAAAAGCATTTTAAAGCTTGAAATTTCTACTTTTCAGACCTGTACTTCAAAAAACGGTCTTACTGATATTTCGTGAAGTTGCACAATCATAAATAAAAGTGTGTCAATCCTAAGAATTTTTTACAAAATTTGCCAAGTTTCCACGGAGCCAAGTAAAAATTGTGTACAATTGCGGTTTACAGCTTTCGAAAGAGTGAATCTTTATCTTCAATTTGCTTTTTTGTTGAGTTCTGTACGATTTTTTTTCACCGAGTTATTCAACGTTGAAGTAAAAAGGCCATTTTATAACTCGGTGAAAAAAAATCGTACAAAGCTCAACAAAAAAGCAAATTGAAGGTAAAGATTCACTCTTTCGAAAGCTGTAAACCGCAATTGTACACAATTTTTACTTGGCTCCGTGGAAACTTGGAAAATTTTGTAAAAAATTCTTAGGATTGACACACTTTTATTTATGATTGTGCAACTTCACGAAATATCAGTAAGACCGTTTTTTGAAGTACAGGTCTGAAAAGTAGAAATTTCAAGCTTTAAAATGCTTTTTTAAACATCTCGATACGATGATTTTTGACGAAATTATTCTATCTCAAAGTTTGCCTATTTTTGCAGGGTGGAACAAGTGATCCTTTAATTTTGTTGAGAAGTGTATAATAAGGTCATATATGGTTACATAGAAATACTTTATTAATATTTAATACCTCACATTCCGTTATTATTGATATTCAGATATCTACGAGATATTATAATCCATTTTATCATTATTTCATTAAATATAAGCACGTACACATATTCACTGTTAGAGGATATTAAACAGGATCAAAATCGCAGAGTAATTTATAAAACATCAAAAAACTCTCTGATAAATTAATATGTTTGTCAAAGAGTTTGTTTATAAAAGATCTGATATTTAAAATTATAATGTTATATATTCATTTATATTCTTTTTGCGAAATCGTCTTGTATAATATAACATTACTGTATTTGTAACAGGTAAGTATTGGTATAGATCGCAATAATTTTTGTAATGACAATTGCACAGAAAATTAGTAAGAGTGAGATCAATACATATGCACAAATATTTTCAAACTTATATTTGAGGATCGCTTGAGTTTGCTGGAAATTATGAAACATTCAGCCTTCAACCAAGACGGCATAATACAATATATAAGAAATGCATCAAGTCGCGTAAAGGAAATTAATTCAATTATTTCAGTGCATCTCCTTATTTTCGTTCAGAAATTGATACTACGCAACCAATTTTTTTTTAAAACGGTTATATAATTACAAACTTGTCATTTATTTTAATCGATAAGAGAACAGATTTGATCGCAGTTAAACGAGATATTTTTAATAAAAAAAACATTTTTAGAAAAAAATTAGTAGTTTATATTCAATAAAATTACTTTTTGATACATCCTCAAATTGGACATACATAATGAAATGAAAATCTTAAATTATACACACACATGCACACAAGCTAGTTGTGATTCACATATTGCAAATATTTTAAAAGAAATTATTTAAATGTTATTTTAAGAACTAGTTATAAAAATGCATGCATACATGTATCTATACCTTTTATTTTTATCTTTAGTCATTTAAGACTAATGAAAAATGCAGCTTTTATCACTCGTTCGTTAATGAATAGATAATTAGATGGGACACTTATACATATATAAGATACAATTTGATACATGTAAGTATACACTTATACATATACACATATATAAATTATATATATAATTGAATAGCAAGAGTGCTCACTAGATGTGACAGATATATTATCTTCCTTGACATTGCCATACTGTGAAGAATCTGATTTAAAGTACATCGTCAATTCATATCAATTTAGCAGTTATAAAAAAGACGTCTATAAATACTAGAATAAATATGTAAATTATTCACAAATATGATATATTTTTACAAATTCCCAGTATTGTAAAAACAATGTTACGTGGAATATCAACCTACATTTTGCATTTATTATATATCCTAAAGTTAATTAAACTTTTACTTAGTGGCATTTAGAATCTATGAATGATAAATAACGATATATTGGAAGCAAAGCATAAATTCTGGTGTAAATGTACATCTCCAAATATATATAATGATATATACAAGATGGATTTAACACACGAGACAACTGTTTTTTGATATAAAAATTACTACGTCTTCGAAAAATAGAATATACTTAAGATATCCAAGTGTGAAGTCCCTAAAAATAGAAAGAAAATACTTTACAAAATATCGTCATTGTTCATGAGATGATACTGGAAAAATGTTTACATATTGTAAATATCAAATGCTGGAATATACTAATATATTTATGTATAGATTATATTATTATAAAAATGTTATACGATAGAAAGAGTAAAGCTCTATTAAAGATTTTTATCCAACTGGAGCAGAGTATGAAAGATACTATAATAAAAACAGAATCGTATTGACATTATAACAATAAACAGGAAGCATAATTATCTCGGACCTATTTAGATCCGTTCAACTCTGAATATTAGAATTAAAACAAAAAAGAAAAATACAACGTTTAAAGTAACGTAAACAACAATTAATGCCTTTGTATTGGTAAACTCCAGGCCTCATTTTTACGACCGCAAAGTTATGAAAACCGCGCAGAATAAAAAACTCGTCTCTTATTGGGTTTTGTCTACCGCTTCCAATCGTTCGATAGTAGGCGGATGTGAATGATTCCAACAGGAATACAATTTATCATATATAGGAAATCCTAAATTATCCTTCTGTAACTTTAAAAGAGCTGCTTTTAAAGAATCGCCATGGCCTAATTTCGTGGCAAAACGATCTGCTTGAAATTCATATTTTCGGCTGATCACTATGCTAATAAAACTAAAGATCTGAAAATAATAAAAAAATTACATAAATAATTTTCTATTTAATGTGTAATATAAAAATCGTATAGAAAAATTTAATGATTACTTACTGTATTCAGTGGCATCAAAATATACATTGTTACAATAAATAGACCGATAAGAATGGGCTCAGTATCGGTGAAACCAAAAGCGCTATACATTGGTGTGTATCGCAAGAGTTTGGCAAACACAACAAAATTGGCTCCAAGTATTATCTAAAAAAAAAAATTAAAAACCAAATATTAAATACAAAGAGAAATCTAAAGAACAGGTTATATACAATACTTCCTATTTTTTAAAATATATTATTTTATTAAATATCTTATTAAATTTTATTAAGTGATTCTTGAATGGATGCAGAGTTCAGTGTTTGTCTAGCAAATATTAAAATATTATTATTAATATAAGGCTAATTCAAAATGATATACATAAATAACAATACACAAAATATAAATCAACTTTAAAGTTATACCTGACTCAGCACAAATCCTTTCACAGCATGATTATGTTTCCAATGACCCAATTCATGCGCGAGTACCGCCAATATTTCATCTGTTTCACAACCATGCTCTTTATCGACATCACTTTCGTCTTTCTTGCAATAATCCTTAATGAGTGTATCAAAAAGAACTATCCTCTTATATTTATAAAAACCATATAGGTAGGCATTGCTGTGTGACGATCTCTTGGAGCCTTCAACTATAAATAACTTGTACAAAGGATAGTTCAAGGAAGCTGCCAATTCTTCGATTTTTTGCTTTAATTCTCCCTCAGGCAATGGCGAATATTTATCAAATAATGGTGCGATTATTTCTGGATATAAAATCATGATAAATAACGATAATACCACAAATAATATCCACAAGTACCAGAAGAAATAATCGCCACCATTTTGCACAACCCAAATTACACAATTTAGAATAGGTAAAATCAGAATTTGACCCACCACAAACTTCTTAATTTCGTCCTTAATAAAAAACATAGTTGTCTGTAAATAAATAATAGTAAGTAATTACCAGACATCTGTTCCAATTAAATCTAATGTTCAATAATTAAATAAATGCTTGAAGATACATAAAAATGTCTTTATGTTACTTGTAGAGACTTACTTGCTTATTAAAGCCATGTTTCTGTTCCAAAACAAAAGTATCGTATATCGCTATTGGCAGATTGGCTACGTGGGAAACTAACCCTACAATAAACATACATATCATACTAATCAGTATTTCATTCTCGTGATTAAAATCACAATACTTTGCTATTTTAATGCTCCATTGCCAGAAATAGTAATAGCCATAAAATACCAGGATTAACTGTAAAAACATCAATGCAAATTCATGAATATCTAAAAAATTTCTTTCTGTTTCAACTCTTTCATCAATGTATAATTTATTATACATTATCTTTTTACTGCTTTATTTTAAAAGGTTTCTACTAAAAATAAAAAATGAGATAGTCTTGTAAAACTCCTATAGTGAGATTTTTAAAGCATCAATAAAATTCATACAAAAATATAAAAAAAATTTGTTGTTTAAAATTTAATGATCATCCAAGTATCCATACATTGAGAGAAGAATTAATCGACAGTACATAGAACTCATAGAAGTATTCATGGTACTCACAGTATTATAAATATTAATATATGCGTCTTGTATAATACCAAAGGTATTTCTGTCTAACGCATATGCACGAGCCTTATCATATACATCCTTACTCATTAAACCCTCAACTGATTTTGGTAAATCAACCAGACGTTTCAGTAATGCTCTCTGTAAATATATATAAATTAGTAATATTGACTCTTAATTATATTAATTCATTTATTTCTAAAATAATCACCTCTATAAATAAGAATTAAAATAATAATTGAAATAAATGTAATATAAATAAAATGTAAGTATGTAAAAATACATAGACGTTTGAATAACAAATAATATTAAATCTTGCTAATTTTAAGAATTATATATACATAGTGCATGTTAAGCATTATTCTAAAAAGTGAAAAAAATGATTAGGGTTAGAAGGTTAGAAGGGTAGATTTACCTGGCGGAAGCCTAAATAATAATTCCAAAAGATTAATAGCCATTTCACGCATAAAATTGTTTCAAGAATGTGTTTCTCCCAAAAATTCAGAACTGCCTCCATTTTGTTAATATATATTAACAGGATATTCAGTATCTCACGCTAAAGTACACATACACACCGTCGTCATTTGCGAAGAATGAGAAAGACATAATCGAGGGCAATGGCCCACTTAAAAAAGTTAAGCAATAAAATATAAGCGTTAAGCGAAAGGGCCAATCAGAGTAAAGACCGTAAGACAATAATGTAGGCAGTAGCCAATCCAACATGTTTGATTTTCTTACTGCTTACGTCTCCTTCTTTACACCCCTATGTGGCTTTCTCATCCACTCATAATGGTCATAATTCATGCGATAAATTTACTGATCCAGTGCATGTTTCTTCGAGGTCACACGTAATCAATTCACAGACATTCGTCTCGTGTCAAATCGAAGTGAAATTCACAATAGGCCTTAAGTTATATATATACATATATACATACATATATATATATATATATATAAATGCCTTCGACCGAATCAGGATATTACGTAACCGTATTTGCTCGTATTAGAGCCAATAGTGCTCCGTAAAGACACAATTTTAGTATTTAATCGCGAGATAGAGCGGTGTTCTAAACGCTAAAGTTATTATAATCTACTGTTATTATTATAATAAATCTAAATGCGAAACTATTAAATGCGAAAAATCGCGTAGTATAGGGCGAAGCTTACGACACGTAAGTGGAATCGAACCCGGATTCGTGAGTCGACCGCCTAGGCACCTAAAGGCCAGTGATGCCAGACATGGCCCGCAGTGCCCGCACTCGCGCATGAGCGTTGTTTAAGGACGCAGAACATACTTTAACATAAAGCTGATTCTACATTAGCCGCATCGCAGGATCGCAAACATTGCGGTCCAATCAACATCAAGCTCGATCGACTCTGATTGGACCGCAACGCTTGCGACATGCTGCGATGCGACTAATGTAGGCCGGTATTCGAAGTCGATTTTCATTTTAAGATCGTCTTATGGGCCTTCTACAATAAGCCGTAAGTCATAAATCGGAAGTAAGAAACTAAAAATTGACGACTGTGATTGGTCCATTTCTAGCTTATGACTTATGATTTGTGACTAAAGCGGGGAGCACAGACTTTTGCATAACGCATAAAGCATGTGCATAAGGAATTTCATTGGCCCATTTTCTTATGCATGAGTCAATGGACCAATCAAATTCTTTATGTATATGGTTTATGCGTTATGCAAAAGTCTGTGCTCCCCGCTTAACTCGGAACGCATAAGGGCCTCTTTCACCAACGCCGATTAACTTAATCGACGATTAGTCCATTGGAATTGATCAATCGCATTTATCATTTAGTTTTGACGACAGACGCGATTGGTCAATTCAAATGGACTAATCGGCGTTGGTGAAAGAGGCCCTAAAGGTGCTTTTTCATGCGCAGCACGCTGCAGCAGCAATTCGTTACTATTGGTTAAGAATTTTATGTAAGCTAGATGACGCACTTCCGGCGCAAAATACATTTTGCCGCAGTTCGTTGAAGTTGAACCGAACGAACAGCAAGCAGCAAGCGGCAAAATCGAGGCAATATTATTTATTGCAATAAATATTAGGAAAATAAACGAAGAATGGCTTCGGATAAGGGACGAATGTTTGTAAATTAGATTATTTTATACTTTACACTTTACTTTTTCAAATTTGTGGTAAAGTATAAAATGATCTAATTTACAAACATGTATCCGTACCTTATCCGAAGCCATTTTTCGTTTATTTTCCTAATATTTATTGCAATAAATAATATTTTCATAATGAAACGACGGACATATTGTACGCTTTCTCGATTTTGCCGCTTGCTGCTTGCTGTTCGTTCGGTTCAACTTCAACGAACTGCGGCAAAATGTATTTTGCGCCGGAAGTGCGTCATCTAGCTTACATAAAATTCTTAACCAATAGTAACGAATTGCTGCTGCAGCGTGCTGCGCATGAAAAAGCACCTTAAGGCTTATTCTTTTTGCCTGCACTGTCTGCATCAGTTCAGACAGTGCAATAAGTTGAAGTGAAACAAACGTATATCTATTTCACTTCACCTATTGCACTGTGGGCACAGTGCAGAGAAAAAGAACAGGGGCTCTATTCTTGAAAAGAAACGTATACCATGAAGGAAGATATAAGGAGACTCCACAGTCTCGCCAGTCTACAAAACATGGACCCATTTTAGGTTTCGAGTTCAGTTTCCGATTCTCAACACTCGCAGCGCTCGTGAATTTAGTAGTGCTGTGCTTAATAAGTGCGAGTAAGAGAAATGATCATTTCTCTTACTCGCACTCATCAGAATTGGAAACTGAACTCGAAACCTAAAATGGGTCCACTTTTATTTTACGGAGTGGAGTCTCCTTATATCTTACTTCCTGCTATAATCATACGTACTACATACGTCCAATACACGAAAAAGAAATTCCCTAGCTAATTTGACAGCTTTATCTACTTTCAATTTTTGCCGATTTTCTCGTACTCGCTGCACCGTGTGTTACATGTGTGTGTAAAAGTGTCAAATAATAAAGTAAATTTTGTCCACGATCCAACAAAATATGTAAAATACAAGAAGAAAAAACTCAAAAGAGTCAGAAATTTGTAGGAAGATAAAATAATCGACCAAAAATAACATGTAGTTTTCAAAGAGAGTGAAAAGATCACGAAGTAAACATCAACAAGAGGTTGACAGGCGAACACGTTAACGAGCGAAGATCGATGTTTCTCTCGACCTGGCGATGATCGTATAAGAAACCGGGCCATGGAAGACAGTAGCAAGGAACACCGGGTCCTGCAGCACTATGTTGCCAAGCAAGACACGGTACTGATACGGCTATTTGGTGTGTGCGACGTAAATGTTAACAAGTTACGTCTGGGAATGCTTGTAGAAGCACTGGAGGATTTGAGGGAGAGCGTGTTGAGGGTACGCGTGACCGACACCGTCGGCGGATCTAAGACCTGGTGCGGCACGGAATGGCGTTGCCACAAGTACGATCTGATCCCCGTGTCACAGAAGGTCTGGCAGTACCTGCTCGCTGTTCAGTCTCCCCAGGAGAGAGTCCGACTAGCGAACGATGAGGCTCTGTGCGAGCAGATAAAAAATATATCTGTAAATGACGTAGCCTGGTACTGCTCCGATCCCACTAACAGACGTGCTAGAGAATTGGCGTTTGTCAGATACATCGGACCTGTGCTGCAGCTGGGATTGGGACATTATTTTGGCCTTGAACTAGTGGTGAATTGACTAAAGCTGCTTTTAGTTGCTGCTGCTCTTTTTTTAAATTCTCAGTTTTATAACTTAAAATAGAGTATATTGTGTATAAGAAATAGACAAAATAACTATATACATCTGAGAATTACATATAGGTATTATTTATATATAATAAAGAGTTCATCTTTAGATAATACTAGATTCTGTCATTGTTGGAAATAGTCATGCTTGAAGGATGTAGCAACAGTTGTAATACAAAGTTATGTCATTCTTCCATCAAAACATCTTTTAATTGCTTATCAGATATTGGAAGAAAACAATTGTTTTTATCCTGTTCTTTAAAATTACAAAATATTCAATTATATTTTAATCAGGTAGTTGCATTGGTCAAGAAAGGTACTGGAGTTTTGGATAAAAGGACAAGTTTGGAGAATAGAGTGAAAAACAAATTTCTTTTTCCAATATTATTTATGTAAATAATTAAAAGATAATATGTTATATTGATAATTCAAAAATTGTGATTTTGTTTCAATAAGGATAGAATATGTATAAAAAGCAAGTAAGAGGTCAATTTCTTATTAATAATAAAATAAATAATATGTTTCTCAGATATTCATATTATTTTGTCTATCTTTTGTATGTAAAATTATAGCTCTTCTTTGTATGTGTGTATCTATGATTATTATATATATGGTATAAAAGAGAACAAATAAAATATTGTTGAATTAAGTTTTAAAATAAGTCGGTAAAATAACATAGTTTTACTTTTGGATTAATTTCAATAAATCTTATTTTTGGACATATAAAACTATTATAAAAATATTTAATTTAAAAAATGAAAAACTTGCACAAAATATAAAATTATGTTTTTATCTTTATCAAAAGACTAATTACAGGATGTATTTTAATAAAGAGGAAGTGTTTGAATCTTAAGATAATTTTACAATATAATAAACAAGCGAACACATGTGAATCAATATGCAATTAACAATAATTTATACATATATATTACAGGAAAGTCAGGAACTATCCAAAACATCCTTATTGGCTAAAGAATATTTTATTTCCACACATTGGAATGCTGCTAAGATATTCACTACTATAAATAATATATTACCTTATAAAGAAACTGACTCAATTTCTACCAACATTGAAAAAAGTATCTATTAATCATAATTCATTAATGAATCATTTACTAATCAATGTTTCATTATTAATTTTATAATCATGCAATTTAAATATTTTTATATTTCAGTATTGTTTTTGAAAAATAATACAGGTATTGACTATAATAACGATAAGAAAAGATCCATGCTTGAGAGTACACCAGCTGTTTTATTAGAACAGTTTACTCTATTTGATGATAACAAAAATAACAACCAAGAATCTGTCAACATACTAAAAGAATGTCATCAAACTGGAAAGTCAGAGCTTGAAAATGATATTAATAACTTTACTCAAACCGTCGATCATACTCTTTTTAAATGTGGTAATTTCACAATCGTGAAAGCAACAAATATTTATTAAATATATACTTATTCTGTCTATACTTCTCCCTAAAAACCCTAAACTAAATTAGCCCCAGTGCCAGACTTTAGTTTCCTTGGTGCGATAGAGGGAGTTAATAATAGCTCAGGTATTTTAAAAATAGATGCACAAAACCTAGCCCGACTTCCTAGAGGGCTGCTGCCAGGTTATAAAGCAGTTTAAAACTATTGTATTTTTGTTTAACAATGGCAGCAGAACTACAGAACATTCCTATTTTTGTATTGGAGCACAAATGGAGTAGTGATATAGAATCAAATGTATACAGTGATGTGGAAGATGCGCGTGGCATAATGTTGGATTACAGTAAGATACAATTGACATGCTACCTCTACTGCACTTTTAATTCAAACACGCGTTTTTTTCTTCCGAAATAATATTTATACTTTTACATCAGAAAAATGATTACTCTTGCTTCCTTACACATTGTCTTTAAGTATTAATATAAAAGTATTTCAATAACAACAATCAGTTATAACTATCTGTCACTTGCAATAGGTAATGGTGAGAAAAATGAAATCAAGAAATTCAACAGGCTAGAGAATAAAGGAGATTTAATAGTGGGATCTAATGTAAAAGTACTTCTGGATTCAGATATCCATTATGGAATTATTCGTTGGATTGGCTCACCGCCTGGTACAAGTCCAGGCAAATTGATGGCAGCTGTCGAGCTAGTAAGTAAAATGAGTGTATTAAGTAGGCTGTTTTGCATTTTATAAAAGAGCAATAGAACAGACTAGAACATTATATTTTATTCATAGGATAATGGACATCCTTTAGGTACCGATGGAACTTACAAAGACGTCAGATATTTTCATTGTAGGCCTTATCGAGCTGTATTCACAGACATTGAACACTGTTCTCATTACGAAAGTGTTAGTATAGTTATTCATTACTTTTTCAATATTAATTTACGTCATATTACGTGTTAATTATGAAAATAGGAGAATTATAGAAACATTTGTCATAAACAGACTAAGCTCAACGAACAGCCTACACTAATAAATAACGATAATTTCGGTAATATGGAGAGTTCTGTAATAACGGGTATAGTACGGCCTATCTCCGTCAAGGGAGACTTGGAAAGTATATGTGGGAAGTATCGTGGTATTCAAGGCCATCATAATTCGTGCTATTTGGACGCTACTCTTTTCAGCATGTTTACATTTACTAGTGTATTTGACAATCTTCTGTTTCGGTAATTAATTTTGTTTCGATATAATTGAATATATATTTTATTGAAAAGATTATTTCTCTTTGAAAGCAAAAATGGATTTTATTGCATAAATATAATATAAGTGTTTTTATACAAGTTTTTATGCAATTACTTTTTTAGTCCACCAAATGAAAAAGATTGCCCACAATATGAAGAAGTGCAAAGGGTCTTAAGAGAGGAGATTGTAAATCCTTTGAGAAAAAATATGTTTGTCAGAGCAGATCGTGTAATGAAACTCAGGACGTTGCTTGAAAAACTATCGTCAGTTTCCGGCCTCACTAGCGAAGAAAAAGGTATACTTTTATATTTCGAAATATTATAATAATGGGTTCTATTTTTAATCATTCTTCTAGTGATTCTTAATAATTTTGTTTTTATTTAGATCCAGAGGAGTTCTTAACGTCGCTAGTTGCTCAAATTTTGAATGCCGAACCGTTCCTCAAATTAAGTTCTGGACAGGACGCCTACCATTACCAATTGTTTGTCGAAAAGGACGACCATTTAAATCTACCGACTGTGCAGCAATTATTGGAGCAGAGTTTTTTAACTAGTAACATCAGATTGAAGGAAGTTCCTTCCTGTCTCATCATACAAATGCCGCGCTTTGGAAAGTCATTTAAAATGTATCAGAAAATACAGCCTACGTTACTACTCGATGTAACAGACATTATCGAAGACTGTTAAGTATCGTTGTATCGAACATCAAGTTACAATAATCGCTTTTATTCTAAACAACTCATTTTATTTTCAATATTTATATGTCATTTTGCAGCACCCAGACAATGCACAGTATGTGGCAAATTGGCGGAATTCGAGTGCAAGGAATGTTACGGACAATGCGGTGTCGGTCTCGAAAGTATAGCTTTCTGTTTACAGTGCCTTGAAAAAGTTCGTAAAGCATGAAATTGATATATAAATATAAGAAATCCAAAAATCAATTTTTATTTTGGACATTTCCTTTAGGTACATCGTCATGAACGAAGAACAAATCACGAACCAAAGAAGCTAAACGTACCTATGGAGTTTACAATTCTACAAGAACATTGTCCTGTACCGCGTCTATATTTGGAGTTATCCGCGGTGGTCTGCATTGAAACTTCGCACTATGTTTCATTTGTAAAATGCGGTCCTGGTTCGGAAGCTCCTTGGTGTTTTTTCGATTCCATGGCCGACAGAAAAGGTATTTCTCACTCATATTTATATAAATAGCTATATAAAATTAACTTCTTTTGTATATTTTTTATATCTTTTATCGATCTCAAATCATTTTATTGTTGAGAATCTTAAATATTGAATTATTAAAATAATTATGTATTAGTGATTTTTATTTAAGCGTAAACTTTTTTATCAGGAGAGCAAAATGGATATAATATACCAGAGATGGTGCCATGTCCAGATTTTCCTTACTGGTTGAGTGAAGAAGGAGGAACTTACCTGACTGAATTAAAAGACGATCGTCATTTGCCCGAACACGCAAAACGTCTACTTTGCGATGCATACATGTGCATGTATCAATCTCCAGATGTTATGATGTACAAATAACTTAAAAAACAACTTATTTTTAAAGTTGACAGGAGAGACTATGGAAATCTCTATCGAAAACAAATTTCTATTCAACCATATTATAGCTAAAATAAAAGAAAGAATCACTCTATAAGTGTGATATTCATAATTAAGAGAAATCTGCTATAAAGACGTTTGGAAAAAAAGGCCAAATAAAAAGACATTTTGACTCGATCTATCGAGAAGATCAGTTTAATTTTTCTTCTAGAAAGAAACAGAATTTTGGCTTTTGAAATTAGAAATTCACTAGATAAAAGGAGAATATTCGATCTGCACTATGTCTATAATGCAGTTGAGGTGCAGATAACTTTATTATAATACTTTCAAGATCAAATTTTGACTGAACTAATGGAAATTTTGCAGTTTTGTAAAATATAAGCCAAAAAAATCTTGTGGCAAAATGTTACTTCTATGAGAAAAAATAGAATTGAACATGTTTCTGTCTATATTGTGATAAGAAGCAGATAATCTCATTTAATGTAATATTTTTAAGAACAAAATTGCAAAATTTGTTTTCTTAGAGACAAAATATGGTATTGTGAATAAAGTGCAACAAATGAATTTGGAGTTGACCTGTCACTCCTGTCGACATTAAGTCCTACCTAAAGTAATGTTAATTCTAGCATTACTGTAAAAGTGCAATCTCCTGCTTTTAGCTTTCTGGGACGATGTAATAAGTTTATATAAATCTTTTTAAAATGTTTGTAATAAGGCTCAATATGTTTTTAAACAATTAATATAGAGAAACAGGGCAATGAGCCAATAAATCAAGTTAAAAATATTTGTAAATTAATTTAATGTATAAATCTTTTTAAATTGTAGACTGAGACAGTATCCCAAGGTCTCAAAATTTATGTACAAAATAGGAATATATGTTTGTAAGCAGAATATATATGTTGTAAGAAATAAAATTGACATATTAATATAATTGACATTATTTATTCGAAGATGCATCTGCCAGATTTGTATCACAAGGGAACATACTTTTTTACTTTTTAATGTATTTTTTAACATATTTTATTTCATAACACTATCAATTTCTTTTCAACTGGAATTTGCCATAACTTGGTCAGCATGGAAAAGACATTTCTAGTCATATTATAATTATTCATAATTATTATTCACCATAATGATATTACCAATTGAAATATACTTCATATAATATATAATAACAATTAAAAATATTAACAATATATATTATATATTTGAGGATGTCAAATGCATTTGTCAGATTGCATCGTAACTCTGATAAACAGTTTTCTAATTTTTATACGAATTGGAACATTTAAAAAATATTGTTATGTACCAACTATACATCTAGATTGATCAAACTCAGAATCAGAGCGAAAGCGAGAGATAGCTGTTCTGTCAACCACAATTGGATAAAGTTACAAACTGTGGTTACAACCGAACCGAACATGAATCAGATTAGGTTAGAAAACAGCATGCGTGCATCGTTCTCAGATCGAAAGCTTACTTGGAATTTATTCAGATTTTAATTGATAATGTTGACGAAACGATTGGTATTCGCATGTAATAAAGAACTGCACAAGCGTTCATGCTTCCCGAATAACGCATTCGCACAAGTTGTACGTAGTTACAGTGTGGAGCATGAGAATCGACAGTTAGAGTGGCGAAAGAAGGAACTCGATGCGGTAACGTCCAAACTCGGAGATGACCCAGAAAAGCCTAAGAAAATCTTCTGGTTTCCCACTGCCGCTTCCAAAGAGACCGACTTCTCTTTTGGTAATATCTCGAAGTGGTTGAAGCATAACAAGGTCGAGTACATCAAGTTCTCTCAGCGATTCCAACCGATGAGACACGAGGTATTAGGCGCTAATCTGGCCACCGCTTATTTCATCGTCCATCGTGATGGCCGAGTCAGATTCAAAGGTAGCACTTCCTGGATAGATCAAGACAAGAAGGGCTCGTACGAGTTACCTAAGCATCACGATCCAAGCTACATCCTTGAAGCGGTAGACGTCAATGGGTTTGATCTGTATTACGAAGGCCTAAGTAACATATGTGGTCTTACGAAGCTCAAGTGGCTCAGTCTCAAGGACTGTAAGAACATCGACGACTGGGGCTTGGACAAGATCTCAGCTGAGTTCCCTGAACTGGAATATCTGGACATCTCTGGTTGCGAGAAGATCACTGAAAGAGGCCTGGAATCTTTGTACAGAATGATCACTTTGAAGAAACTGATTGTAACAAATCATAATAAGTCTGTCGCTTTTGAGCTAAGTTGCCTTATGTTGGAGGACTGCATACCAGAATTGACCTGTGAAATTCTTATACCTGGAGAAAAATCTAAAGACTAATAAAAGATTAGAATCATAATATAGCTTGTAACTGTAAGAAAAGATCTTTATCTTTATTTATATAGTATTTAATTATTTTTTGCACAATTTTAAAGAGTTATAAATTATAGTAAATTCGGTCACTTGCATTTCACTAAATTATTCTATATTAAAAATGGTTGTACATGAAATTAGCAAAATTAAATGTAAAGGTTCATAAGTATTTATATTTTTGAATGATTAAATACTCAATAATATTGTTATGTCATGTAGCAAAATTTACATGTATTGTTTCATTGTTAAAATGGCTTAGATTATGCCATTTGATTTAAATTACTTACTATTACTTGCACTACTGCTCTTCTTTTCTAATTTTTTAGATTTTAAACTTAATAAAAATTTGATGATTCAGAATTTTATATTCTATATATATGTGTGTGTGTGTGTGTGTGTATGTGTGTGTGTATGAAGAGAAAATAATAGAATTAGAATGGAATGTAGACACATGAAAAGATACATACAAAAATCAAGATGAATAAATACTTTTAAGTGATAATGTATATTATATTTTACTTTATAAAGCAGTTTTGTATACTAATCCAGTATTAATGCAATAATCTAATTTGTCATTAGAAATGTTAAGTGGAATACTATAGTATAAATAATAATTTGTCTAAAAATGCTGTTAACTTTTTATCAATTTATTTTTTTCCCTACGCCTCTTTGTAAAATGTAATTCCACCTTATTAATAATACCATAAGCTTTAATGTTTTCGTTATCGTTAGAAAGTCTAATATCTCCAAAGCAAAGATAATATTTCTTCCAGACGTGCTTCCAACTTATCTTCTTCTTGACATTCTCTCTTTTCAAAGACAAATTTGTATGTCTCTTAATGGCCTTTTTCAAATCAAGCACTGTTGTGTTATGTGGAGATACCTGAAACAAAAGAATGTATTATTGAAGTGATAAATACAATTTGAACATAATTTGACAGATACAATATAATTTGAGTTTGCTCTGTAAAACATGTAAAAATAAATTATTACCACCACTGCGAGCTTTGGCAATTCTCCGCGATTTAAGAATAAAGTTATGGCTTGTCCTTGTGCAACTGCAATCTGTGATTTAAGTTCTTCTATTGTAACATCAGAAGGCAATCCGGAGAGCAATGGTTCATGTTCAACAAGACTGTTTATAGTTGCCTTAGTTGATTTCATTAATTCCTGATGACTCAGTCGTGTGGTGTCAGACTTCAATTCAACTTTGATACACGATTCTTCTTCATCTTTCATTGTACGTTTAAATTTTAAATCTTTGATATCATCCATGTTGTCATCTTTGTTTCAAATATTAACCTATCAGAACAGATTTGTAATTTTTATAATATAAAAATTATATATATATATATATATATATTCATAAAATCCTTACATTATTGAGAGTACATGTAAATATTAATATTTGAAGATTTTTTTATTCTCTACGTTTTTATACAAATATTTAAAAATTGTTTCAGATTTTCAATTACAAGCGCAACCGCAATTGTCCCTCGTATTCGGGAAACTATTAAGAACCAATTGGAGACTCTACTTTCTAGGGACAAATTATTATTGACTAATTTGTTAAGAACAACACTTTTCTCAATAGTTTTGGCAGTTAAATGTGCTCCAACTATTAAAAAGTGTCGTTTTTGATAAGTTGGCTAAAGGCCGCAGCAAGACTTTTGCATAACCCATGTAATAGTATTGAGAAGAACCACAAAAACGTGGACATTACCCTGTGAGATTTGGTACACGAAAAAGGCTAGGATGTCTACTCTAGGTTTCTCTAATATAACTATGGACTAATGGACTGCAAATTACCCCCACTTTTCCTATCCATCCCAATCTTTCCGAAATTCTCTATAAACATTAGACACTTCGCAAGTTCGCGACGAGGGACAAGGTAGACGGATTTGGCGAAAAGATTGAGGAAGATTCAAGAGATTTCCATAAAGATTAGAATGCAAAATCTCGCATCGTCAATGTCGTGCACACAGATGCGGTGTTGCTACATCATTCCATGATCTCACTTTGGTTTAATGATTTAAAGAGATTTAAAACTAATTTAAGCACTTTCACGTTCAGAACTGATTTTACTATTACCTCTGTAGCGTGAACTACGGTTGAATTTTTTGGACGAGAAACGGACGAGCGAAACATCAGATTCTCCACTGATCTCCGCAATGGATGAGAACATGGATCGACTGAGTAAATACACGAAGCATTCGCCAAAAACTATACCTAAATCAAATGTAAGACTGTAAGAGACAAATTTGGAAACGATAATGCATCAAGAGTGACTTCCATCAGATTCCGATTGTTGAATGATATCCATAGTGTGTTAAGATAGATATAGAATTATTAATTTTTTTATTAATTAGATGATTATGAAAATTTGAAACAAATTATATCGTTCAAAATTTGCTGACCATTTTTATGATTGAATTAATCGGAATTTGATTACAATCATTCAAAATTACACTGTTCACAAACTTAATAGTTATTTGTATTGGAAGGATTTAAATATTTTATTTGATTAAGTTTGTTGAACTAAATATATTTAATCATGAATATGTTTGATTAAAAGTTTAAGATTATATTGTAATTTAGCTTGAGTTTAAGATTATATTACAATAAATGTTAGCAGGTTCTGGAATGTCGTGTTTGTGAGGAGGTTTTTACTGTAGATGGTGTGAAGGTACCACGTTTGTTGCACTGTGGACACACGGTATGCCACTCGTGCTTGCTAAGGTTGAGGTCTTGCATGTTTGAGGAGCAGCAGTTTCTACTGTGTCCCTTTGATCGACAGCCCACCGCTATTCACGAGAATAGCATCTACTGCCTGAAGAAGAACTTTGCGCTTATCGAACTGCTTGAACGGCTGGAACAGTCTAACAGCCAGAAAACGTTGGTGTTGGAGAGTGAGAGGCTTCAGTCGAATCTATTGTGCGATGAGGATGAGGCTCATACTGCAGTTCTTTACTGTACTGTTTGTGCCACACACTTGTGTGAGGCTTGCGACACTGCTACACATTCATCCAAGACCCTGGGCAAACACAGACGTGTGCCGTTGTCAGAAAAGCCGCGTGAGAAGCCACGCTGTCCAATACACATAGCAGACGTAGCTGAATTTACATGTACTCAGGAAGGCTGTCATAATTCCTTGATGTGCTACTTATGTAAAGAATATGGCAAACATAGTACTCACAAGGTAATATCATCTGTGATTATAGGAGCTCTATGTGGATTATTTCCATGTCCAGATTCATTATCAGAGTTCCAATGTTCTATGAACATTGCAATTCACTTCATCAGGACAAGAAATAGCTTTTCTATCTCTTGGGCTGGTATTCATAGTCAGTTTTTATATTCAAGACCGTCTTAAGTTCAATCTTGAGGTGTTATGAACCAATCATAGGGCCACATTAGCATCTTAAGACATAAAGCCAGGCGGCACACAAAGCTTGTTTTTCTACTGGATTGCTAGCTGGATCAGATTCTTGCTATCGGAGTCAATACAATGGCAAGATTCTAATCCAACAGGAAAACAAGCATCGTGTGCCACTGGCTTTACTTAAAGCAGTCTTGAAATAAGAACCGACTATATATACCGACTTTAGTATTCTAATGGATCTGGACATTGAGATAACTCATGAAACACACCTCTTGTATAGAAAAAACCCTTAAAGGGATTATTTGTAATTTTTTTCTTTATATGTCAATATGTTTTAATATCTCATCTGCTTTAAATTTATATTATAGCCGGTATTAGTCGAGGAAGAAGCAGAAAATATTAGGAAGTCCATTATCGCGGCATTGCAGAAGATGACACAGTTTATGGAAAGCATGAGAGATACTGCACATAAAATAGGTATTTACATCTTTTTTTCTTCAAAAATTTTACCTAATACTAGCAATTTAGAAAAAACGTGACCAAAATTAATTTTTTTGATATAAATTGTTCAAAAAGTCATAGTATCTTTTAAACGTTTCTCTAATTCATATTTTATCATTTTATTTATGCTCAATTTATATTTTTGTGTTTTCAGAAATAGTAATCGAAGAATTAGAAGGCTGGGCGATCGAAGACGCGAGGAGGAGGGTACGATACCATTTCGAGGAATTACGTGCTGTTTTAACCGAACAAGAGAAAACAGCGATGGCATACATCGAGACGGAGACTCGCGGTAGACTTTGCGCACTGAGACAACAACAGAAAGATCTCACGACCACGCGATCGCAAGTGGCCGGTGTATGCATCCAATGCGAAAGCATACTCGATTCCGAGGATTGGAAGTTGCTGAGCAGCTCGGAGAAAGTCAAGGAAGTGCTGGCGACATTGGAGCAACAGCAGCAACATTATGCGCAATTAGGACCGGATTTTCTCAGTCCCGAGTCCTCCATTCCAATTATATTTAGCAGGGTTCGCAGATAATTTTTATTACAATATGAATATAGAATGAATTATATAACATCCTAATTGTCATTGTTTTTAATTGTAGAATAAATTGTTTTATTTTAAATAACTAATTTAGAGTGGTATTATAAAGCAATTATAGTGAACTTATACATTAATCATTGTTTTTTTGAACTTCAAATATTATACTTTTATTTTTTTTTGTTTAATAGAAATAATCAATAATAGTAAATTGTTTTTTTAAAATATAACTTTTTAATAAAGAGTTAATAAATTTTTTCCCCAATGCTTCATTTTACAACAGGACAACAGAATACACATTGGAACAAAGATTGATATGCGCGTAGTAATCTTAGGACTGGATGGTGCGGGAAAAACAAGCATTTTATCTGCTATGCGAGGCGTTACATTGCCAAATCCACCGATTCCCACTATTGGCTTCAACGTTGAAAGCTTGGAGTATATGAATCTCATGTTTACTCTTTGGGATGTTAGCGGTCATCAGAAATTTCGACCACTATGGAAGCATTATTATCATAACACGCAAGCTGTTATTTTCGTGGTTGATGCTAGCGATAGATCTCACTTTGAAGAGGCACGAAAAGAATTATCAAAGATACTTTATGAACGAGAGCTGAAGGATGCTCTGCTTTTAATATATGCTAATAAACAGGTAAATGTACCATTCCTATCTTTAAAATATTTATATAAGATAAATGTAATTATGTATTTTGGACAAAATAACAAATTTTAAATATTAAACTTCTAACGAGAAATATGTAAATAAATTCGTCATATTAAATTTTTATAAACAACGAATTTATTTACATATTATTAGAAGCTTAATATTTAAAAAATTTTGTCATTTTATCTATAATAATCCACTTTTCTATTAACTAATACATTTATTTTACAAGATATTATATAAATTCCAAGCAAAATACTTTTACAGGATGTTCCTGGCTGTGCGAGTGTGGAGGAATTAATTGATATACTCGGCTTGCATAAACTTTGTTGTGCGAGAATATGGCACATTCAAGGCTCATCGTTAGTTACTAATGCCAGTGGTACGCTGCAGGGTCTTGACTGGCTTTCGACGCAATGTGTATAAACTTTTTTTTTTATAAAATTATTTATGTATGGAAAAAGCCGAAGATATATTTAACGCTAATTAATTGTGATTTCCACGCAAAAATGGTACGAAGCAGACTGAAGTTAGATAGATAAATGTCATGCAAGATAAATATTTGTACGTACAGTAGACGTTGAAAATAGTTTGTTTTTTTCTAGCTATTCCCATAAAATAAACTCTTATCGAATGTCATACGTATTCAGAGAATTGTATTAAAAAACAATATCTCAGCCACACAACACATTTCGACGTCGATCATACTTTATAATTGTCATCTTTTTGTTATTTCTAATATAAATCTTTCTTTTATTTGCTCAATACGTATGGATGTCAACGTGTGAATGATGAATCTATTATATCGCCGCGAATCTCCCTTTATTAGCTCGTTAATCTACGAGATAAATATATTAAGTCACGCTATACCAAAAAAAGAAAATAATTCGCAAGTCACGACATAGTCATTTCGGAGAAAAATGATGTCCGTTTATTTTCCGATATAAAAATGGAGTTACAAGATTAACTATACTCGAACATGATACAATAAAATAGCGTGTATATGCATATATATACATATACAATGGTAATTGGAAGCAATTTGCACAATCGATTCGTACACATTACTACAAATGGTGAAAATGGATCAGCAACAGGACTGGGTTTTACGTTCGATCGAGGTGAGCGCTTGAGACGAAAATAAACGCCTGAGCACATCTAGAAAAGTCTTATTTATTTTATTACATGGTTATTGGACTGCCTCTGATACATAATCATACCAATTGTAATCACTCAGTCACATTTGCACACATCTATCATTCTTACGTTTTGCCTTTTTTTTTTTTATTAATAATTGGAGCGATTTTTCTTTTTCTTTGAATTACACGTACATTGTACGGAAATTGAAATAATGTATATATTATATATAATATAGCATCGTGTTATTTAAATTACATCTCAATTACCTTTTAATGTATATAAAAACACTTGACAAACAAAAACGGAACAACTTAGAGTCTTTTGTGGAGCTGCGCCGATGGTGGACACGGGCTAGACGACTCTCTTCTTATTTCTTTCTTCCCTACTCTTTTCCATTTGTTTCTACTTTCTAATATCTGTTCTTTCCGTATTCCAGCACACACTTTGCAGAAATATAGATCACTTGAGCTAAGCGTGTAATATTTCAGGACAATAGACTCACTCGAATAAAAAGTTTCTTGGGTAGCTAAGAATGTTTTAGGCGCTGTGGTTACCAAGGCCAAAAACACTAGCAAAACCGGGCGAGATTTTAAAAGCTTAAAACAGAATGTTCAATACAATGTTCTTGCGGACAATACGATGGACGACGTAATCAACAAGGGTATTATCCTGCTCTCTTGCTATTGTGTTTTTAGATTACAATTTTGTGCCTGTGGGAGAATTTAGTGCGTGTCGCGACCACGTAGCTCCTGGAATACAGTCTGTGTTTGTGTCCATACGCGACACATTTATTTACAATTCGTCATGCGACTGCAAATAAACAAAAACAGTTAACATCGTTGATCGTATAAAATCGAAAGAATCTATTAGAATGTTTGTATTCAGAAACGAGGAATTCCAACTTTTTCTCGTCAGTAAAATATCAGAAAAAATATGAACATCATGCGCTAGTTTAGTCGTAAAATTTCAAAATAAGACGTGTAAATTCAGCTACCATAGAATGTTATACTTACTTCGTTATCTGAATGAGTGTGCTCTTCCTCATCTGCATCTTCATCGTCCTCATCATCCTTGTTATCTTCGTTTTCCTTGGCCTCTAAATCTCTCCGTTTCCTTTCCTCCTCATCCTGCGTATCCTTCATCTTCTTTTCACCTTCCTACGATTTACAGGATAAAATATGTATTTTCTAATTCATTTATTGTTAAAAATTTATATATCTATGATGAGTTGATCATATACATATCAATAATTGGATAAATTAATAAAAGGCAATAGCAATAATGACTAAATACTTACAAAAGTGCTTTTCCAGACATCTTCGCCAAATTTACGCGCGACCTCCAGATCATCGGTGATCAAAACGTTATCGAAAACGGTACCGGATTTAACTTGCCACAAATCAAAACCAATAGCGCAGATCTCATCGCGCTTGTACAATTCGGGGTCGGGCGTGTATTCGGGGTTATCAATCTCAGGATGGATCCATGGTCCTTTATAGTTGGGATTCTCGATTTGTTTCGGTTTCCATTCACCCTGAAAAATAATATAATTTTAAAAATAATATTAATAAATGAAGTATCCGATAAACTTCTGAATGCATATAAATTTCAATATACAAACCTTATAATCAGGATTGTCAATCATGGGCGCTTCCCATTCGCCGTCCATTTCATCATCCCAATCTTCTGGTTTAGTTGCTTCGGGATCAGGAATGTGCTCGGGCTTATCCCAATCTTCAGGCTTCTTATCATTGGGATCATCGATGCTGGGTTTGTCATCCCAGTCAGCGGGCTTGGTTTGAGATGGATCCTTAATATTTTTCGGAGGGAGGAAACTCCAATCTGCCTCTAATTCGCCAGTTTCAACTTCTTCGTTATCAATAAGTACCTGAAAAATAATTTTTGTTGAAGAGTCATCAAATCAGATAAACTTTCGTTTAGTGATATTATTGATGTGTTGTTCTTTGCTGTATGCGTATAGTGAGCGGCATCCCCTCTATACAATTAACAAACAAGATAATCTTTGTTCTACGAGATCCTGTAGCACTTATCCTTCACGGCAATCAGTGAGAACATGTGACTCTAGGCTCGATAACGTTTAAGATCATGGCAGAAGAAATTTAAACATAAGCAGAAAGCGAAGTAGCTAATCACAATAGACTGTAAAACTATAATGCAAGCAATAGCAAATTCAACATGTTAATTTCCTTATTGTTTGTCTTACATTTACGTCATCGGTTTGCGATAGTTATAATTTTACATGGAACGTAACGCATATTTACCTGGTAGGTGTTATCAGGTTTGACAACCAGAGTATACAAATGCGTGTAAATATCATCCTTGCAACGGATATCTTTGTTGATTAGAAGATTCTTTCCTTTGTAGCTAAAGATTACATGAACCTTTTTGGTTCCAGGTCCACAGATATCCGGTCCTATATAGAAGTAAAGATATCGTTTAGTTTTAAAATAGATAAATAAAAAGAAGATAAATATATATTACATATATTTAAATTTTATGTGCGTAATCGTATAAAGTAATAATTTTTAAATTGATGATATGAAGTTATTTTTACATAAAAAGTAAGACAATTTAAATTATATCTAAGCTAATTAACTTAATGAATGTATCTTTTCTGGTGCCTATAATATGTATATATACTTATTACAGGGCATAATGAAAGAATATTTCTTTCCGAGTTCCTATAGCACTTATCATACACCATGACCAGTATGACCAGTGACTCTTAGGCTCGGAGGATTACTAATTATTCACTATTAATAATATATTCCAATAAGAAAACTTACCAAACATAATCTGATAAGGACTTTCACCATGCATATCTTTCTGATCAAGAGAACAGTCAAATACTTTAACATATCCACCTCCGCAATCAATGTTCTGTTCATGCTTTACAGTAAATTGAATAACAAGGGTCTTATCTTTATTACTAAATGGAGTAAACTTCCTACTGAGAGCGTAAAACCTTGCGTCTTGTGACGTCTGGATACCTGAGAAGAATTTGACAAAATGGGCTCGTTACATAAGTGAATTTTATATTTCGTAATCAATTATCTATATTTTTTTAAAATACCTTTATCATTTTCTTGATCGTTCCAGAACTTTCCGTAACTTAAAACAAACTTTCCGAATTCCTTACCAGGATGCTCGGAATAAACCCAATTATTTTCCCAGGAATCTGAAATATCAACAATCTCTTTGTGACGAATTTATATAACAATTTTTAATGTATATTTTACTAACTATAAATATCTAATTTGTTTAATAAAATATATTTTTTATAGCGTATATTTTATCAAGATTTATTTTATATTTTATTTTAATTTACTTTGTTTTATTCATGTTAATAAATTTATTTAACGAATCACATTGAATCTTAGATTTGAAAACCATTAATGAGGAAAATAAAAACTCATTAAAAAAATTTTATTGACAAAATTATAATAAATTTACAAGCTATAATATTTTTCGACTTCCACCTAAAAACAAAAAATCGCGTGTATTTTTCGGAATCTCAATTTATCGGAGAAATAATGAATAAAAAAAAAAGCAACGTGGTTACAAACAATTTCTACCGCATTCTCAAGTAGGAGATGAACAAGAAGGGGAGGGGGGAAGAGAACCGGTTAAAAATTAAGAAGGTAACGGCCGTAGAGAGGCGAAAAGATAAACATTTCCTCGCTGGCTCAATTTCAACGATATCTCAATATAGAGACAAGGAGGAGAACGAAGTCTAATTGTCGCGCTTCCATTGTCATCGGCGAACATAAGAGATCTGTTTCTTTTGCAATTCTTTTCTTCCGTCAAGGCTCAACTATCCACGTCCGCTCGATACGTAAAAAAAAAAAAAAAAGAAAGAAATCGAGAACAGGTAAAAAAAAAAAAGAGACCGAAGGTCCGTCATATTTTTTTACACTTCGCTTACTTTAAAACGAAACGAGCTTGAAGTACAAAGCGCGATGAGAGGGACGATACTACTTAAGTCGAAATCCTGCATTTAACGGGATAATGTCCGCGCCGATGACAAGATCCGTTCGCCGAGTACTTTCTGTACTTCGAAGCGCGACAGCCACGGAGGCGCCGAGGCGCGATGAATTCGCACGGGACAGAGAGAAGCGGAATGGTGGCATACAGGAAAGAAGAGCGCCGAGAGATACGTGGTGACGCAAACGGACCTGTGGAGCCCGTTTACTCGAGCCACGTCGGAGTTCTCGCCTCGGATCGGAGCCACGAAGCTCAGGTCGGCGCCGCTCGTCGAGCATTAACATTACGGATCGACGGATCGATCTGTGCGGCGTCATGTTGGCGGTGCGGTGGCGATGCGGCGGCTGCCATGAGAAGCGACTTCCGATGTTCCGACTGCGTGTCGCTTACTCGATCTTTCGACGCTCCTCTTATCCTTCTTCTCTCTCTCTCTCTCTCTCTCTGCCTGCGGAGGCACATATGGCTGATACGGCTTGAAATGCGGAAACGCGATGTGTCACGATACGGTTCTTAACAATTCCCGTCGCGTTAACTGACGCTCGCCCGCGAAAGATATGCGACGTCGGCCGGCGAGATGGAACGGGCCACCGGAGCGCAGCAGGGCGTGCGGTTACCAAGGGAAGGCCGCCGTGTCGCGTCCACGTCCTTTCTCCGCGACACGTCGCGCGTAGAGACGATGTTTCCGTCGTGTCTATACGCGGCGCTAGGCCCTCTCGATTGGAGAAATTCCGCGTACGGCGGAATAATCGAGGGTGTGGTTCGTCGCGAGATCCGCGAGACTCGAGATGGTCTTCGTGGCAAAGGGAGAAGCCACTACCGCCACCCAAACGATTGTTCGCCGCCGGGCCGGGCCGGGGCCGAGTCTTTGTGAACGACAAATTAAAATCGGCTCTTACCATCGTTGAACTTCTCGTCGAGATACACCTCCGCCGTGGCCACGGCAAACGCCAAGAGTACGACGAACGCACAGGAGGCACGCATTTTCGGACGCCGACAGGACGACGTGAGTCCGAGGAAATCGACGACGAAAAACGCACCTGCCACCGCGACGAACTGCCCGATAATGCTCGCTCCGCGGACGTGGTTGGCGAGTTTACGGCCGTCGAGGTAGACAGATGGAGGGCGCCGATTGGCGGACGGCGCGACGGCCAATCAGCGCCGACCACGCTTAACCAGCGGTGCGCCGCGCCGTGGCAATCGCCGGCGCCGCTGGCCGCCGCCGTTCACCGCGCCGCGCCACGCGCAACTTCTACGTCACGATCATTTATCGCGGCTCTTTTATCTATTGTCGATATGGCAGGGCGCGGAAGACGAGGATAGCCGGATTTAGACGGGATCGCCCAATGCAACGGATATACCGCCAATTGATGATCAAATTCGCGCTATATTTTTGAAAGGATCACGCAATTTCTTCTGAAAAAAGAAAAAAAAAACGATTTTTTTCTTTTATTTTCAACAAGTTTACTTTTCATTATTTTAATACAATAAGTGAAACTCTAGTATTTATATATTCAGATAATGATATATATTTATTTATGAATTATTCATTAAGAAGAATAATTGATTATAATTAATTAATTACAATGACGTAATTTTGTATACTCGGCTTGTGCAGATTGCAGGTAAAAAATCAGTTAATCTAGCAGTTATTATCAGAATGAAAAAGAACATGCATTCAATTGAGTTGTGATGTCACAGATTAGAATCATCTAAAAGTTTTGGTATAAACAATATAACTTATTTAACACATGAATTTTGTTTATATTGAGTAAAAAATTACAACACATGCATATAGGTTACATGTAATTTAATATTTACTGGGATGTTCGATCAATTTATATAAGAATCAACAGAATATTTTACTGTCATGCCATGTTTTTATTTAATTTTTTATAAAAATATAATTAAATGATCGTTATCAAAATTTATTCATATTTCCAAAGCGCGATAAAGTTGCCAGTAAATATTGTATACGTGTTTTATATTTAATGGATCTAATGACCACTTAATGACTCTTGTCCTAGACAGTTTCCATGACAACGAGAAAACAAACTTGTCATGGCGAGCATGATGGCGAGAACGAATAGAATGAGTTACAGTGACTCACTTCAAAATCAAGATACTCGTCTCTCGTTACTTTGTGGATAATTGAAATTTACAAGTGATGCACATACATAAAATTGAGCACGGAATTTTTAGATAAATTTAGAACACTGGGACTTAAGAAAACGAGGAAAAGCGAAATGCTCTCCTCAAAAGCAAACGCGGCGCTGGCGCGTCTGAAAGAGATCGAAGAGAAGTACAAGATGAAAAGCAAGAAACAGAAATGGAAAGAGGTAAATAGCCGATAGAAATCCATAAATAGAAATTTTCTAATATTAAAATTGTTAAAACTGTAATATTCTCAAAATTTTAATTAAAATTGCTAATAAATACCGCGCGCGCAATTCTCTCTTTCTCCTTTTTTAATAAATTTTATTAATCAAATATCTTATAATCACCCTGATTTTATTCAATTTTTTATTTTCTTTATAAATTACGTAATATCTTATTCTGTAACTATATATTTGTAATCCGTGCGGTCATCCTGTACACTCATTATTTGCTCAAGCTGCTTGTTCTTAGAAGACCTCGCCTTAGAACGAAAATAAAAGCTTTATCCATTTATCTTTCATCAATTGCTTTATTTTTATACAATATAAAACCTGTAACACACAAACTATTAACAGTAACATTAAAAAAGTCAATATAATTTTCCACTCAATAAATGTAATATATATTGTACATAACAGTTACATTCTTAAGTAGAAAATTATAACATTAAGGATAATATTAGTGTTAATATAATTGCAGATTTATGTGAGTTATAATAAGTCCTCTCTTTCTCTCTCTCTTTTTGAGAATTTGACAATATAACAACATTAATGTGATGCTTTGTAATTTCAGGATACCGACAGCTCGATAAGCAGCGTCTCAATGGTTCCTCTGGAGAGTTCGAAGGAATCACCAAGAAAAGTCACAAAGCTCAAGCTCAATATAAAAATGCCGAATACTCGATTCGAAGGACACACAGAGGAAACGAAACTTTCGTCGAGAAATGAAATATCGACGCCAGACAAAGTGAGCGCGAAACTTCCCGAAGAAGTCGCAAAGATCGATCTTGAGAATGCGATGCTGTTAGATGATAAATCGTCGCGTTCCGCAGGAAAGCAAGAAAGTCTTATCTCGGATCCAATGACGATTCAGGAGAGCAGTTTGATCGAAAGTGTACTCGATGACTCGGTAATTCTGTCCAAATCACTCTCGCGCTCGAAAACATCGCGGCGAAACTCTTTCACGGCCAGCGGACGATCTTCCGGACGTTTGGAGAGAACAAGAACGACTGCGAAGTCCGAGGGAGGAAAGGAGTCCAGCAAATCATCCGAAATCTCGAATGGAAAAGCGCTGTCTAATAATTCAATTTCGAAGCGACTAAGATTGTCTGGAAAATCGAACGAGACTTCCAGGATGCGTCTCGATCAAAAAAAGCGTTCTATTGATTTCAAAACGATGACGAAAACGCCAAAAAGGGCAGATTCTAATGATCGAGATGATTCTAACGACAGCGTTGTCGAGGAGTCGATCGGCACGATGAAGGACGGCAGTGAAATTATTTCGGAACTTTCCCACGTCGAAGTCAGCTTTGTGACTAAAGTTGAAGACTCCGTTGATGTTTCCGATGGCTCTAAACATGTAAGAGACGAAAACCCTTCCGTAACAGTTTCGAACAGCTCGAAAAGTCTGGCTGAAAACGGATATGCGAACGATACCTTCGAGGACATTTCCAGCTCGAGTATTCGATCGCAGCGCGAGGAAATAATTAATGGAAAGAAAGAGGTGCAAATTAATAGAGTGGGATCTGGAACGAAAAAAATGGACATTGCGGAATACAAATCTTATCAGGACAGTGCTAAGGAACACAGGTATATAGTTTAAAAAACACATTACATAATTAATTATTTTATATTTTTCTCTAAAAAAGTATATATGTATATTTTTTATAAAAGATTTTTCACTATAAACTGTAAAGAAAATACATTTTAATAAATATTTGTAAAATAGTTCTAAGTAAATATTTACCAAATGTATTCTATATAAAATTATATTTATTGACATGAACATTAAATTGCAATTTAGCTATTATTTTTTTAATTATAAGTTTATATTATATTTATTTACTGAAAATAAATTAGCAACTTTTAAATGGGGATATACAGTGTAAATCTGTTCATTTTTTATAGTTTTGCCTAAGAAAACTTTTGATCAGTATCTTATGATTTCTACAATGAATTGGCTGAACACAATTTCAGCCAATTCGATTGAAACTTTTTTTATATGATTAGTCGTGAAGAGCTTCATAATTATATTAAGAGATAGTTTCTACATAAATATAAATTTTATTATTTTAATAATAAGTGTAGAGTCATAAAGAAGGACAATTAATGTTTATTACTGATTTTAATAATTTAAATAATTTTTGTATCGACCGTAAATTGTCAATAAACAAGGAAAGAATTATTGCCTATAACGGTCAAAGCTGGATCAAAGTGCTTATTATAAATATGTGTGAATTTTTATATACTATATATGTAGTCCCCCCATAATTGCGCGCTGATACAATCAGACATATAACGCATAAATACTACAGTAGTATTATAATATCACCGATAAATACTTGATTAATTACAATTAAATATAAAGATGTTAATTTAAAATTCCGTAAATAAATGGATCTTATTAATTTAGTATATTGCGAAGAATATCACAAGTTGGCGTTTCGTCCCGGCTTCCACTACTGGACTCATCAGTAAGGTAATGTAGTGGGAGCCTACCTTAGACGCCAGTGTAAGTTATTATATCGAGACTCTGTATAAAGAGACACACGTGTATCTCAGCACTTCCGAGAAATTTCAGTCTTTGACCGTTATAGGCGATAATTCTTTCCTTGTTTGTTAATAATTTAATTTTGTTTCTGTAAAGATAAAGATAAAAGTATGCAAATATATAATTGATATTCGAAACATATTGTATAAGACAGTATTGAGAGATAGTGCTTCAATTAATGATAGAAAAGGTCGGACGGCTTATAACGAACGTTGTGATCGTTATCAATGATTTATTATCACAAGCATGAATAAAGTGGCAAAGCGTCGACAGTCTTGAAATGACCAAATCTTTATGAATATGAAAATGATTTTGCGAAATGCTTTATTCGATACAGAAATGGGCTCGATCTGAGGCCGAAAAGTGCAACCAAGGTCAATCCGAGACCGTCTAACCATGTCAGCAACCTCGAGAGCATCATCGGGAATCCAGATAACGTGACTGTACGTTCGTTGAAGTTGCCACGATCTACCAGTTCGCGTTCGAAGAACCAGAGAAGAATTTATCAGCATCGAGAGGAATCATTTCGAGATGAAAACGTTTTAAGTGGTAAAATTAATAAAATGTTATAAATAATTGACGGCGACGTCAAAATTGGAATTACTCCAATAAAATATCTAAATATTAGGAAATCTATTTGAAACAGAATTTTGCGAGAGAAAATTGATTTAAAACAAAAATTGAAATAAAACAAAAGAAATACTTTTGAGAATATTTTAATTGTAACTGTCAAGGGCTTCATGGATAATCCAAATAAAATAGATCTGAAGAAATCAGATTCTATAAAAATATAGGAGTTATTTTATCATCACATGCAGACAGTTACACACTGCCTTTCATTTAAACAAGCATTTTCTCATTTTTTGAGCTGTTAACCATATTTCAAGTGTTTTTATTAAACTTAAACTTTATTGAATTAATAAAATATATTTCTGTAATATTTATAAATAGTAACTAAATTTCGAAATAATACGTTCCACAATCGTCACACGACATGGATAATAATTTTTTTTTTGTGCTAAAGGTAGTCTTTAACAGTCATAAAACTACACATAAACATTTTTATTTTAAGATTTTTTTTAATCGGAAAATTCTGTCGTTGTAACGATAATTTTAAGGTGATAATGCAATCGGTCTGACGAATCTTTCAACCGTAAGTTCCAATAAGAACTCATCGGATTCCTCGGATCCGTTGATCGGCGACGTGACGAAGACAGATGAGAAGAAAAACTTCCCGGGGATGACTGTCCGACAAGAAAGCAACCGGAAAGAGCGTGAGGAAGCATCTAACAGAGCGAGGGAACACGCGGTGATAGATGTCATCGGATTGCCAGTGGCGAACGACGAGGACTGGCTCGAGTCGGCTAAATCTAATTTGTCGTTAGAGAATAATGAAAAAGGAAGAGGAGATGTTTCCGAAGGGAACTTGGTTCAACGAATTCCACAGGACGCTGAATATGTACTGAAAAAATCACACAAAGGCGCATTGATTAAAAAACACACAAACTCGAAAACAACAAAAGTGTCGAAAAACTCCTTCGATATCAAAAGCACGTCTCGAATCCAGAAGACGAGAAAAGTAAGAGAAGAGAACGAAAGTTGCCACTCTTCAGAGAAATATAAAATGGTAAGTATTAGCGTTGGATATTTTTTATCGATAACGTCATAGCTTTTATTCTTTTTATCATATTTCTTTTTTTTTAATATTTTTTAATTTATGCTAGATTTAAACAAAATTTTTTTAAACTTATTTTTCTATTATCCTAAGTTTTTCAAATTTTTATTTTAAATTATGATATAAATTTGGACCAATAAAAATAAATCTAATTAAATAAGAAAAATAGCCTATATATTTATAATAATAATTTTATATTTAGTTAAAGTGAATCCTAATGCTTAAATATTTCTGTGTAAATTTTTTACAATAAATCATTCACAGATTTAAAATTCTTATATATTATCATTAAATTATCAATATTCTTGTAAAGATACTTACTAGCATCTTTATAACATAAAAAATTATTAAATTGCTTGTCGATTTAATAAATGATATTATCACTTTGGTCTTGCATTTTAAGACTAAAAAAGATTTTAGCAGTTTACAGAATTAGATATGACATAAATTCACATAAAAATATTGAAGCATCAAAATCCGCTTTGACTGAATATAGGATGTTTCTTATTTAATTGTCTTTAATTTAAGATTATACACATTTTACGATTAACTTTTTTCAAAATGGAAAAGCTACATAGTGTTATATTTTAAGGCAAGATCAAGTGCAATAAAATGATGAATTATACAAATCTTATTTAAGGAAAAGCTATAACAAAAAAGTATGCTGTTATTTTCAAAATCATTTTAAAATAAGCTCTAAAGGTTAAATACTAGATTCAATTTGAGAATAACAATACATAAATAACTCATTGAAGGTCCAAGTGTTAAAATCGATATTTGCGACGCCAAATCGATATATTAAATCATTATGTAATGATTACATAATGTATTTTGGCAAGAAAAACTATTATTTCGTCATCTCTAATAACGTTTTCAGTCTAATCATAACAACCATGAACATAACTTCAAGAGAAGAAAGAAAAGAACAAAAATAACGAATTCGAAATCAGCCGGCAATCACAATACCACAGGAAGTCGTAAGGAAGACAAAGCTTTGAGACTACTTGATGGAAAACAAATGTGTGGACTTCGGAAACGGATTGTTGAACTACGACTGCAGCAAGAACGAGAAGACCTCCAAAAATATCTACACGAATTGAAGGACTTAAAACTAGAACCGGGTTCTACTCGAAGCTATTTCAAGCCTTTGGAATTCCCAAAGATTGCAGACTTTACGCAGCCTGGTAATTTATAAGCAAAAAAATTAATAATTTAATAAAGAGTACTAATGAATACAAATTCAAATATATACAAGGAAAAATAGAGACTATTTAAGCCAAGCTATTTGTCATTCGCCATTATTATAAACAAAAGTCACAATATAAAATAATTTCAAAAAATTTTGAACGTTTCAATCTTTAATGTGGTCTTTAGTGAATTTTATATAATTATATACGTTAAATATTACAATTAAAATATCGCTTTACAATTTCTTCTTTATATTTATATCCTTCAATACTAACACTCAAAAAATCCTCAATTAAATTTCTTTTTACTATGTCATTTAAATATTCATTAGCGCTTAGAATAGATTGTCCTTCGTATCTTTTATAATGTCAATAGTCATTCGTTATCAGATAGAATCAGCAAACATGAGGAATCATAGCTCCAATACCAACGTATTGTCTATTAACTATTACTTTGCAAAATGTGTCCATGATGAAACTAATGTAACTGTTTTACAGTAACTTTAATACTGTAATTATTTTTTTATATTTTTTTCTCCAAACCGTACTTTTATAAAATTATGTAATACATTAATTGAATAATTTTAAGAAATCTTTTATAAATCTCTATTTCTATAAATATTCCTCAGTGTTTATGATATCAATTATTAACGTCTATTTTCTAGTGTGAATAAAAAGATAATTTCTCAGCGATATAAGTAAATTATTATTATATCTTATCTATGACGTGTTTATCTTTAATTAAAGATCTTACATTAACATTTTGAACATTTTTCCTTTTCGATTCATTTCGCGATTTATGTCATTTTAATGAACGCGTCCGAAGTGGTGAGTCGTGCCGCGGCGAATGCGCCGACAATTGCGACTCTAGCAATGAATAGAAGGAATCCGCATTGTATCGAAACAATGAGAACGTATAGACCGATAGCGGTATAAAGTCGTATGACGAATGCATTAAATTCATTTTGCATTTAAATGGAGGCATTATGCATAAATGCATTCAAATGTATTCAAAATATATTCTCAAATATATTTCGCGCGTAGATATATGTATATTCTCGATTTATATTCACAACGTTTTGAAAATATTGAACGCTTTTTTTTTCCAGATATAAACGACTTGGAATCGAAGCCGAACGATCAGTTTCGGGATAGAGTTTTCGCGATTAGACGTTGGTTGAAAGATCAATACGTCTTGTATCGCGACTACTGTACTATGGCGCAAGCGATCAATGCCCACTACGTTCCCACAACATTGGACGATGCCAAAAAGGTAGGTGCCTTTCTTTTCGATGTTATTTATTTGTTTGTGTCATGTTGGAATATTACTAGGCTTTACTAGTTGCGTAACGCAATAAAGTGAACCGCACAATGGCAAATACACAATGCTCAAGAATAGAGAATAATATACTTATATATAAGGAAATTGTATACTAAAGAAATTTATACAGTCGAAAATTACATGTAGTGAATGTAAAAGTATATTTTATTATTTTTTAATAAAAATAGGCTTATTTGTAAAAAATAAACATTAATTAGCAATTTTATGAGTATGTTTTATCCTTATAATCAAAAGAGCTTCGCATGTTCTTTAGAAGCTAAATTTCTTGATTGTACAAATATTTTTCGTGTTCAATAATACAATTTATATAAATAATAATACAATTCTTTATTTTTGCTTATTTTTAAGATAACATCCTATTTTTTAATTATTATACATCATTTTAGGTAAAAAAAAATTGTGAGAGATGTACAGTCCATTTTATTTTTTGTTAATAAATTGCCTATTATTGTTTACTTTTTAAAAATAAAGTGTTTTTTAAAAGACATTTTCCATTTGTACGAATACTTTTGCATTCGCTGTATGGGTATATTGGATTAAAAGGATGCTGCATTCTTCTATAAATTGGAGTTAAAAATTGTTATTTTTCTTATAAATATAATGACGATTCTTTTTTTGTATGCCCAATTATTATTATTATTATATAACAAAAAGCGCGTTATCAAGTTTTATTAAAACATTTTTACGTTACACGGAGCATCGTAAGATTTCATTAAAAATCTTTCTCCTGAATGGGGTAAACTTGGAACGTTTATTACGTCGCCTTACGTCTACGTCATAAATCGATGTTCACGTGTAAAATAGCCGGTGTAATCAGCGTAATGAAAGTATTGCATCTTCTTTGACGTAATGATGTCTAAAATAACAAGTGTGTGATGACGTTTACAAAGAAGCTGCGTCACGATATTCAGGGCTCCTTGCACATCGATTTTGCGTAATACGGTCAAAGGAAGAAGGGTCGGGGGAATTCTTGAACTAACTCAGGAAGCGCTTAGGACGTGCATGTGTATGTAAACCTACAGGTAAGTAGGCGAGAGAGCATGTTACGACGAGGACAATGGAGATGCAATAAGGAACCGAATAAGGAAACGAATGCTTTAACACGCGACTGGATAACCGCGAAATTACCGAGCAAGCTTTTTGCCCGTCGCTTGGACAAACTGTTAGACAAAAGTATTTCAAACAAGATAAACCTTTTTTGCTTGCAGACGATACGCGAGCTGCGGAAAACGACGATTAAAACCAGGTGACGTCGATGCGCCCACCTGAACCGTATAGATACACACTACACGCGACTCGTCGAAGCTGTCCTATGATGTAGCGCGTCGGATTTGGATGCTTTGAAATAGTGAGTAATTGAAATCTGTTTATTCTTCATTAAGTTATTAAAACCTTGGATAAAAGCATCGAGTGTTCTGATAAATGAAAGATTGAGGAGTCGTGCGTGATTTTTCATTATCTTTTATTTTGTCTTAAATTTTTAACATAAAATTCTTATATTCTTTAATCCTGAATATTTAAACGTGATTAAATATTGTGATACTTTTAATATTACGAGTAGAAAGAATAAACTCGTGCGTAATTATTTTGTACAACATAATGGAATTACATAGTGGAAATTCGTATAACGTGAATTATATAATATAATTAAGTTTTTCCTATTATATATTAACACTAACTTTTCCACGTTATATCAATCACGAAATAAATGTGCATATTTAAGAAATACATGCCATAACTTCAATAACGTAATTTCACTTAAAATTGAAAATTTTTTTTCCTTTTTTTAATTACTCTTTGCGCGTTAGAATTCGTATCTGATAACGGTTTTCTTAATGAAATCAAAACCGAGATTTCTCCTTTATGCAATTACACTATACTGGCTGTGCAATATATTCGCGCTTCCGGCGTGTTGTAGGAGTATATTGTGAAACTTTGTGAAAATTATTCGTACATCGTCCGTTCCTACGCAAATCATAGTATGAAATGAAATTGCGGCGTGGAAAGATAAGGGAAGGGTTATTAAAAGGTAGACTAACGCAGACAATCCGCATAAGCCTAGATTACGAAAGTGTTATTGTAAGACAAATAAATTGAAAAATTCAAGGACTCTTTTATATAATGATAATCAATAACATTAAAAAGGGCGAAATAACTCTTACTTCGCCCTTTTTAATGTTAGGTAAGAGTTACTTCGCTCTTTGTAATGTTATTGATTATTATTATTGTAAGAATTACGATCTCGCAAAGTACAAAATTTTTCTAAATCGGCAGTTTGCTCGCGCGAGTGCTCTTCCCCGCCATGTACCTTCCTAATTGTTTACACTAATGATCCATAATTTTGACCAGACGTTATTTAGTCTTGAAAATACAAGAGGCGTCATAAAAAATATAATAATAAGTATTGTAATAGTGTAATTTTTTGTAATTATTTCTTTAAGTTACACTTTTAAGTTACAACTTTTTCTTTAAATATATAGTAACTTTCGTAATAACGTAATTCACAATGAAGTATCGTAATCTAGGATTAAAATATGAATAAGTCGATATTATAGAACGTCTAAAAATTTTAGAGCAATTTAAAAAAATTGAGTGAAAAGTGCCATATTCAATTAAGGCGATTTTTCATGCCTAATAATATTTCTTGCAATTTTATATAATTTCTTATTTAAGCAAATTGTGCGCTGATTGTTTGTCGGTCTTTAAACATAATTCTAAACCGAAATTTAAATAATAATATCACAAATGTCTTGATCAAATATGGCATTCTTCATCCAATGCTTCATGAGCATTATTTTAAATTAAAAATAATAATCTTGTTATTTTTTTTTTAATAACAGTATTAAGCTAGGTTGTTTCACTTTTCAGTAAATTGACAGTCATTCTCTTTCTCTCTTATGCTCTTTGTTACTCTTTAGTTTACTTAGTAGATAAATTATTATATATTCGTAGTTTATCCGAAGATGAAATAATTTCATAAATTGTTCCGACCCTTAATAAAACAAATACAATTTTATTAAAACAAGAGCATAATGTATTTGTTTTATTTATGTTATTGAATTAACAAAATTTTTTCAATTAAAATAATACTATGGATACATCATTTTTTGTTCAATACATGTACATTAAAATAAAAAGCGCAACATATAGACGCTGTTAAAAAAAAAAGAAATTTGTTTCCGTTACATAAATAGATAAGGGACAAGCAGATAGATTAAAAATATTTAATGTTGTTTTTTAGTGGAAATGAAGTTACAAGTAACAATAATGTTCACATGCATTAAATTTCGTACAAATCCGCATAGAAATTAATGGAAAGTACATTAAATTTTATAAAATTCTGTGAAAAGTACACAGCAACAAATATTTTCAGCTAAGTAAAATTTAACGTTTCATTGAAATCGAATTTAATTTGTAGAGCGGATAGAGAAGATACTTTTGTCTTCGTTATACTGTTATTGGGCAAACGTCACGCTGCGCGTGTCGCCAGTGCGAAGGTGCGCGACAGCCCTGCGTCGGCTGCGCGGCGCGGGGTGGCGCGGCGCGACGCGCTTTCATTGACGCGGCGGCGTTCGGCGTTTCTCCAGTACAGTCTCGTAGCAGCCTCGCGACCGTCAGGACGTACACGGCGCCGTCCGACCGCGCTTCCAAGAGTCACGAACGTTCACCACCGCGTTTTGCGTCCGGCCAGGTGCGGTCTTCCGCGTTCGCGTTCGGTACGATCGTAATTTCTCCGCGTCGAAGAGCGGCAGGAGCGATTGGACGCCAGGGAGCGCCGGGCTCTTCCGGTAAGTTGGTCGATTCGCAATAATTTGATGGTGGTTGAGGTTGGGCGTGCGAAGGGTGAATCGAGGGAGGGCACGGGGAGTTTGATAATAGATCGGCGCAATATTGCGTGGGCGAGCGACGAGATGCTTTTACTTCATTTGAATTTCATTGAGCGTCATTTTTTTTCCGTGAAATCTCGAAATTTTGACGTTGAACGCTACAGTTGTGATTCTTGCAGCAAATCAAATTTCACTTGAAATTCGCTGAATGATATAAAGTATGCGATTTAAAATTCTATTAATTTATAAATTTTATCTGAAGGTTGGTCGAGGAATAAGATTTGTCGGACTATCAAAATAATTGTGTAGAAAATTCAATTATGACGAGCAACGCTGCAAAAAATGACATTTTAACAATCAATTTGAGAGTACAAATTATTTTGATAAATTAACAAAATTATTTTGAGATCTGTATTTAGCTGAAATACATGAATATTTTAGATTGTATATTGGAGCAAGCCTTTCTTTCTGTGCTGATCAACGTAGATTCGTTATTTTGTTTTCTTTTAATTGTTTGCAATACTAAAAAACTATTCATGTATTTATATTTGAGTTTTATTACAAAATGTTTTATTAAATTATTTTATTTAAAAAGTTCTCATATTTTTTCTCTCATCAAGCGTTATTATTGAAATTCTATGATGATTAGAAGTAAGAGTAATTAGACGAGGGTGGGAATTTCTGAATTATACTAAATTAAATTTACTCACGCCTTCCCGCTTCGCCATAATATGTGTATTAAAAGTGCATTAAATAACGAACCCCACGATCATAACTTTCTTTGTATATATAAATCTCATAAGGCTTTTACTGAGATTACAATGTCGACTGAAACACAATGAAATGAAAAGCAGCGTGAATATATATGCTGATTTTATGGAAATTCGCTCGACTGTTTGAATGTTAAAGAGCGAACTTCAATTAGCGCGATGTTCGCCGGCCGATGAAATTTTCTATCGATTGAAGTCAGAGAACGTAATTGTGATCCAAGGGGAAAGAATAGGGTTCGTTATTATCGACGAGAGTTGCAAGTGAATACACCGTGTCAGGATGTGCGAAAACATCACTTGTTAGACTTGATCGAGGAAAGCGTTTCCGACTTGTGCTGAACTTTACTTTCATAAGCGACACCATTTCGTAATTTTTAAGTCTCTTTAAACATAGACGAAGAAGAAAGTGACCAACATTTTCTATATAGAGAGAACATTTAAAAATTAAATGTTTTTGTAATATAAATACTACAGAAAAAACGACTTCGCTGGAGTGTGTAAAAACGTATATAATAGTTAAATTTAGATATGGAAATAATTTTGTTGAACCATTAAGTAATTATATAAACTCTTAAGCATAATAAGTGAAGTTGCAAAAAGTTTTGACATTCTAACAACCAGCTTGGGCGTCCTATGTAATCATTTCGATGGTCTAACAAAATTATTTTAGATCTGAATGCACAGCTACATTTTCAGACACCTCAGCAAAAATCATTCTTTCTGTATTTCAGAATTTGAGAGCTTGAAACCACATTACCGAATCCTTGTAATTATTTTATAATTTATATTTATAAATTAAATAACATGTCATTTTTTTTTGTATTATTACGAAACTTTCTTGATTACCAAATTGATGTTAAACACTTATACTCGTGTCAATTCAGTCGAATGAATAAGTATTTAAATAACCAAATTATAAAGATTACTCTCGCGTTTATAGCCTTCGAATGTAGAAAATTTAATATCACCTTCCAATTTGCTAATTTTCGTTTTTTACGTGGGTGTAAATTTTAAGCGAAAGTGTGGCTCGCGGTGGGCGTAGGTTTCTCAAAATCGGAGCACTCTCGCTTAAAGCTGCGACAGTCGCACTGTTGGCGATTGTCTCTCGAGGTCTCGGGGATATCTATCCTTGGACGAGCGAATCGAGGCTGATGGTGCTCGCGAGATATACCACGTTATCGATGCACGTGATTTGTCAGTCGCTCCGAGGCCGACGTGACGTCGATCATGCAGAGGTTTAAGATCGTGCTGTATAGAGCCGTTTTCTAATATCCGTTTCTACAGAGGCGACCCTAATGCGAGGCCTTTCTCCGCGAATCCTGAAGAACGCAGGAATCGCAGTTCGAAATCGAAACGCGACGCCCGAGACTGAATTTCGTATACATTCTGCATGCAATGGATACCTACTGAGAAAAATGTCTGGTTGGATTTGTTGGAATTCTAATTAAAAATCGAATTATATAGAATTTTCTGGTTAAATTTACTAAATCTACTGAATTCCAATTAAGATTAACTAGATTCTGATTTGTCCATTTTTAATAATTTTTCTCGGTAAGACAATTACAAAATTTCAATTATTTACTTTATTTGAATGATTGAATCGACAAATAATACGTCATAAAATTGGACCGAATATTTTAAATATTAAAACACTTCGAAATACAAATTATTATATACATATAATCCATTTAATCAATTTATTTTGATTTTATAGATAAATAGATAAATAATGTCATTTTTTATTTTTTAATATATTAAAAATACGCGCGTTTTTTTAAGGTATTTAAAATTGACGGTTTTGTCACTTTTTTTCTAAAAAGTTACTTTTTAAGAGATCTTTAACGATTATAAGAACATGGTGTGTAACTCCTGGTTGTCGCCGTTAGGTTCACTCGCGTGTGACCTTTGACCTAAAAAAAGTACACGCTTGACCGATCTCTACGAACCATCATTGTTTGCCCGTTATACGTTAATTTGCTCGGAGAAGACCAAAAAAGGTTGTCCGAATGTTTCCTTTCACTGAAAGATCAACATTAATCGACGCTAATCATGCTTAATTCAATTTCTGTTCAGCACAATTAGATAATGGTAATGTAACACCAACTTTAATTGAGGATAACGAATCAACATTAATTTAATGTTGTTTATTAATTGGAAGGTAATATTTTAAAATTAATTAATCAAACGTTATCATCGATTAAAAAGTAATGAGAAATTTAGTGTGAATTTATCATTCTAACAGCAATTATTATTCTGTTAATTTATAACCGAATTATGTAATGTGTACCAGAATAAAGTCTTGTATTAATTGAAATTCCGATAAATTCAACCAGAAACGTATGAACACTTAATCGTATTATAAAATTAAATCTATCAAATATGTTCAGGTCGACATAATCAGCAATTCACTTACAATAATCAAAAATCTAAATCATTATATCATCCGAATTCGTTTTGTTAGAACAATCAGATCATTTTTTTCAGTGTAGATAACATTAACTTAACAAAAGTTTGATTTATGTGTGTGGTAATCGTGAATGGGGGACTAACTGCAACAAAATTCCTTGGATTTTGTGCATCTAATACGTTTTTGCGCAAATTAATTACTTTATATATTTCTGATGTATATAAGCGAGGGTATTTTTATTTTCTTGAAGTTTCTGAAGCACGTGGCGTTTTAAAAAAAATAAACTGCGACGCGGTGATCATTTTTATCGAGTGTCATAACTAGCCAGATTCGTTCACCCCATAATAATGAATGCCCTTTCGCGAAAGGTTGCACGGTTGGGTTAGAGATAAAATTCAACTGCGTATTATTAGCTGTATTATTCCTCGCGATATCGCGTTAATTATCAAGACGCCCCGTCTTTGTCCATCGCGACGATCGATCGTTCGGTAACTCCTTGACCTTCAACAAACTCACCCTGGAGGGACTTTACACAGGGTCGTCGTATAGAAGAGAAAAAGCGACATTTTTATTTGCGTCGCATCCTCGACCCTTCGCCGCAAGATTCAATCGATCGACGCGTGTCATGTATTTATAAACGCGTTCCTGAATGAAATTGAGGAAATACGCCGCTCGAGTATATGATGTAGGTGCATACATCTGCCCACGTCTATTCAAAACTCTTTTTTTCTTAAAAGACATGAAATTATGTTACCTTATATTATTTTACGTTTTTATGTACAGTTCTTTTATTTTTAAAACATACGTAAATTAGTAAGAAAACCTAGCATTGCATAATTTATTCAATCACAGAATATAATACTCTGTTTCATAAAATCTTATTAAAATTGTGCACATTCATTTCAAGATATAAAAGTATTGTATGGGTGTATAAATATTAATTATTTTAACGTATTAGGACAAATTAGAAATAATGTGTCCTTGTAATTCTAAGTACATCTATGATAAAAATTTATTTATTAAAGTAAATTGTAGTTTAAAAGATTTGAGAGATACGATTTAAATCGATATTCCATTAATAAATGACGCCATCACGAGCTTGCATAATTTTCTCAGAACATCATCTTGTCCACGTGGCTATATCTTCTTCGCAATCAATGAGTTATTACGATATATTGTGCCTCTTGTTTTGTCATTGGGAAAAATCCCCGCAGAGAAGAATCCTATCGTCTTATCTTCACGTTTCTGTCATGTCGCGAGACAGAGTCTTGAATAGACTGGAAAAAAGGTGTGTTAACGGCATTATCTTAATTGAAAATAATTTTGTCAATTCAGCACATAATACCATTAATGAAACAAATGCTGTTTGTTTTATAACATTTTATTTGTTTCGTCAATATTGTTGTTAAATCACAACAAGATTATTTTTAATTTTAATTAAAATAATACTGTTGAAACAGCATCATTTTTTTCCAGTGTAGAAACGCCTATCCGATGTCTCGAGGATCCATTGTCTTCCTACGCTCGTCCTTCTATCTCCTTTCTGCTCTCCTTTTTTCACGCATGGAATCGGTCGTGGAAACAAAGAGCCCTGTGTTCTCAGTCGTGCACGAAAGGACGATTTTATTGCAGTATCTAAAAATTTAACTAGGTATAAATCAGAAAATAAGTTTGTTGAACTATTAAAGTAATTATATAGAAAATTTAAGCAGGATGAGCAACGGCTAAATTTTGATACTCTAACAATCAACTTATGCTATATAATTTATTTTGATAATATAAAA